CGTCGATGAACAGCTGAAAGAAGAAGATCAAGAAAATTCCAGAGCAATACCGCAACTGGTTCGGAGAGGTTGTCCGACCAGAGCTGGCAGAGCGGGAAGCCATTTTCGGCGGCGACCAGCGTGCTCGGTTGATTCGGTGGGCGTCGCTCGTAATAGAGCCTGGAAAGGGGATTCTGGTTAGGGAGCAGAATTTAGCCAATTGACAGTTTTAAAGGGATGCCGACGGCATAGTCAATTGGTTACGCGCGCGGAAAAGAAAATTTCTCTGCCCCTCTCCTCTGGGCGCGCTCTCTCCCCTGTTGGCTACTTGCCAATTTGTTGATGAAGGGGGATCGACACATGCCGTCCGCAGCCCTTTAAAATAGAAAACTAGAAGATAAATATAGCAGCTTCAAACATTCGAAAACCTTCGCAAAAACCCACCGATATTGCAAGAATTCGTGCGGGGTCGTGCCAAGGATGATGCCGATCTTCTTGCGCACCTCGATGACCCTCTCCTTCCTGCCGACTGCCATCAGGAAACGCGAGAGGCGATCGTTGACAAAGTCGACGATGAACACCTAATACAAGGCTTCGAACAACAGAAGAAATTTACCTGGAAGGTGCACACCGACTCGTGACTTTCCGGGAACGCCGGGTAGAACATGTTCTCGGGACGCTTGACGTCGAGCAGGAAATGGAGCTCGGGCCGCGAGGGTTTGTAGCCGTTGTGTGAGCCCATCGTTGGCAGCCGAGAGTCGATCAGCTAAAACTTTGATAAAAAAATTACGTAAATAATTTTACTTCCATGTTTTCGAAAAAAAGGGCCGAAAATAGCGACATGATCAAAATTCTGTTTCGCGGAAAAGCTACTGCCACAACAAGGCTTTCGAAAAAAACGAAACAAAACTTTATGAAAAACTGAATTTCGAAAGCATAATCGTCCCAAAATCAAGAGTAGGACGGACCTTGTTCAGCTCATTGCGCGCTGTGTGCTCGTAGGTGATCTGGCGGTGCAGCGCGTCACATTCCAACAGGCGGCAATCTCGGAAATTCAGCTGCAAGTCCTCCTCTTCCGCGACGAAATACTTGGCGCTCTCCTTGATGATATCCCTAAAACAAAGCTAGAAATGCGACTCTGAATACGTACCCCAATTGATTCTCGCGCGACAGCTCGAAATGGTGCACCGGAGGGCGGCTTCTTGAAAGCACCTTGGTGGCGACGTTGAGCTGCACGACGATCTGAAGTGATTTTAACAGAAAAGAGCTCAAGGACCCACTTTGACCAGCTTGGCGTCGGCCTCGAGTTGTTTGGCCCGGTTTTCCTCGTCTTGCGTCCATCGGGCCATCAACCGGTTGATATGCTCCGGCAGCTCCGCGGTGCGCAAGAAGTGCTCGTTCTGATCGAGGGAAATCTAAAACACGATAAAAATAGGTAACCAGCCGTTGAAAGCTTACCTTGCGGTACACGAGCATGTAGGCGACGGCCTGATTGCCGGAAAAGCTGCCGAACGTCTTGTTGATGTCGTGGAGGGAGGCGCAGGCGACTTTCGTGTCGTTGAACTCGTACCACTTCTCTTGGTCGAGATTTCTAAAAGTCTAATGTAATAGAGCCCAAAGACAGCAAAAAATCGAGCAAAGTCAAGAAAACTCACTTTATGTACGCAAAGTAGTGGCCGCCGTTCGCCGTGCCGTAGTGCACCATCACCGAAAACAGCTCGTAGACGTTTTCACCCTAAAATTGGAGATTTTGGCACTAAAAAAATTAGTTTACCTCTGTTTGAATCATCTTGATCACGGCCTCGTGGTCGATTTGCTGTCCGGCTTTCACATCGCTGCTGCGCGCGACCTTCGGCGTGGCCTTGCCGACGAACGGGTTCAGGTTGAGCACATCCGGGAACGTAACCCTAAAGAAAAACATGGTTTCAAAGCCTGCACCCCACCTGTCCACTATCTTGCACCGGGTCAGCGTGTTGTAGTCAAAGTCGAAGCGCTTCAACTGGATGGAGAGCAGGTACGGGAATTGCGTGATGCGAAAGCCCTAAATCAAAGGAAAATTGTGAAAAAGAAGGACGTTGTACCTTCTGCGCATCCTGCTTCTTTTCGCATGAGTCGCAGTGGTATTGGTTGTCGCCGTCCAATGTCTCGGGCTGGATGAAGGCAGCGAGGGCTTCCTCCTGAAAAAAAATAAAATCATGAAATAAATCAACCGAGAAAACCAAACAAAAATAAAATTGTTTCTTTTTGTCATTCCCCACTCAACCCTCTCTATGAATCACCCTCGCGCGCGCCATCCCTCATCACACTAATCCCGCCTAAAGCCATTCTAACGCGCCGGAGGGGTGACGCCGAAAGAATGAAAATATTGATTTTTGAGGCGCAAAAATATGGACGTTCCGCAGAAAGTGTAGATCTATGGAGAAGCCAAAATCTGCTAAAAACTGACCACACTGTGATAGGAATTCTGGGAGCCGAAAGCGCGCACGGCGAGCGGCAGATCCAAGAAGTAGTCGGGCTTCACTTTCTCGTTGCCACATCCGAGGCATTTCACAAAGTCCTCCATCGTACCCCTAAACATAAAATCAAGAAAACCGATTAAAACACACCTATAGAGCTTCTGGATGAGGTCCTTTTGCGCCGTGTTCTTCCAGCGGTTCTCGAGCGCTTCGAACATCAGCCGGCACAGCTCTTGGATGTCGTGCTGCTCATAGGCTGGAAAGAACACGTAAAAAGATACGTTTAATGTTTTGTACCGTCAGTGGTCGTCCATCCGAAGCTGTTCGTCAGCTCGGTGGTCTCGGCGTTGCATCTGTCCGTTGTCTAAAAGAAAATGTATCGGTTCAGAGTTAGAAAAATACCTGCAGCATGACGAATAGCTTTTGCAGCTGGCACGGGATGTTAGTCGCGCCACCGTCGCTCCGATCGTATTCCCAACTAAAAAACGGTCATAAAAATCAAGAAAGCCAATTCGATGCTTTCGCAATATCGGGGGATCAACCTTTCTCCCATAAGTCCAGAAATGCCAACAGATAATTTTGAAGCAAATTTAGCTAGATTTTAAGTGGAAAACAATAAAAAACTTTTAGTCGAAAAATCTATATTTTTTTGTACTCCTTAATCAAAATTTGCAAAATTTTTACGGTCAGGAAAGGCAAATCGAGTTTAGAAAACGCTGTTTTTTCAAAAAATGCTATCTTAAAAAAGGCTTTCTCCCCGATATTGCGAAACAATCACCAATTCATACCGGTAGAGGCTGTTCCGGAACTCGGGCGTCATGTAGAGCGTCTGGATGAGCGAATTGAGGTAGCACGTCATGGCCTGGTTGATGAGCCCGACGTACGGGTGCTCATTCTCGTCGAGTGGCGGGCCCTGGAAAAGTAGGAGCATGCGTCAACACACAAAATTGTTTACCTTGGTGACGGCTGTGAAGCTTGACGTCGAGCACGAGGCCATCGGTGGCTGCGGCACTTCCGAGAAGTCCGGCACCGGTGGCAGCGGGATGGCGGCGTTGTTCGAAGCATCTTGGCTCTAAAAACAAGTTAAAAAGGTGAGCCGGAAAATACCTGACGTGTGGCCTCTGCGTAACTTGGCAACGTCTCTTTCGACGCGGACCCGCCGGCCGGTTCTTGCTCTAAAAAATGATCATCATAATTCTAGAAATTTTTCTGTACCATATGGCGGCGGTGGTCCATCATTTTGAGGCGCGGCACCGACGCCCGGATCCGGACGCGGCTGCGCCTGTCCTCCAGGCAGTCCTCCTTCGCGTTGTCGACCTTCCGCATCACCCATTTTCATGGGCGCCTGAACGAATCGATAAATCAGCCGAAGGTAAATTTATTGCGAAATAAAAAATTAAGTAATTTTGTGAATTAAATGGCCGTTAAAGGAATGTCAATCGGTTTCCGTTCGGAATTGGTATTATGAGGCCCGGAAAAGATACATTTGCGCATCAAAAAGATGAAACTTTCCAGAATAGCTTAAAATATTACGCGATTTTTTTGGTTCAGCTCGAAAATACAATGCTTGCAAATTCTTTCATGGTATTCCAAGGAAAGCATAATCTTCTTGGGCCCCCGAACCTGACTAAATCTATTAGGCAACAAATTTTATAGCGTGGAGGCTAGAACAAAGTGCTAACGAGCGGAGGAAACACCTCCAAGAAGGCCTCCAATTTTCCGCAGTGAACCCCGCCGAGGCGCCCCAACCCTGTGCCCGCAGCCAAATAGATTACTGCCCCCGTTTTTTCCGGGGGTAGTCTTTGAATTGGGCCTATTTCAAGGGCATTTCACAAGTTTCTGCTAATATTATAGTAAAGGTATTAATAAAACGGCTACGGTCTGCCAATACAAGCGTAAATCACGTAGTCTAAAATGCAAGAATACTAGAACAAAGTCTTGCTTGATTTTCAGAGCAAAGTATAGAGTTCAAGCCGAAAAAAACTAACGTAACAAGAGCGCTCAGAATTTTATAAGATAGCAAAACACAGTACCTGTTGAGGCCAGTTTGCGGGCGGGGTTTCGCGCCCCAGCGGACCACCCGGAAATTGCTCATTCGGGTTGGAAGCTAAAAATTGCATGATGTCAAAATGAAAATAAAAAAAATCGAAAATAGAGAAATTTAGATGAATTTTAAAGAAATTGAATTCGTTTCATGAAAAACGCGAAAAAGGAAAAAATCGCATTCACCGACTTTGGCGTACAGCACGGTCAACCGTAACGTCAAAATCCGTCCTTTGGATTGTCGTGTAGCTCTTGTACGATACTTTACGCTTGCATCGATCGATTTGTTTTGTAAACTTTGTAATTTGATATTGTAAGAATTTTATATATTTAAAAACACTACGTTGTTTGGCCCCAATTCTAAGCCTTTTTTTGCTCAAAAACAGTGTGAAATTTCAGTGCGGCGACGAAAACGTTTTGATCATTATTTTTTGAAGTTTTACAAAATCTTATCTACATCGTTTTCCGTAAACTCTGATGATTTAAAATGATTTTATGTGTTGAAGCAACCTCAAATTACAGATGGCGCCCACGAAAATATTGGCGGTGGGCGACGTGAACGGCAAGTTCTACCAGCTGCAGAAGAAGCTGAACCAAATCGTCAAAAAGGTGCGTGAAACGCTTTGACCTTAGATGTAGAAAATTTTAGAGCGGCCCCTTCGACATGCTACTGTGCGTGGGCGAATTCTTCGGCGAGGACGACGACCTGAACCGGAAGCTGATGGACGGGCAAATCGATTTCCCGGTGCACACCTACATTCTCGGTAGGGATTGAGCTTCAGTTTTTGAAATTTAGTTTTTAGGACCGTGCTGCCCCTCGACCTCTGCCTACTACCCGGACGAGAATGCCGAGATCACGTCCGACATCACGTATCTTGGCAAGAGGGGCATTCTCAATTCGCCGTCCGGGCTGACGATCGCTTATATGAGCGGGCTTGAAGGTAATCGGTTACGAATTTTACTCCATATTCCATGGCAAAGTACTTTAAAAACTTCGAACAATCTAGGAAAAGAGGGGCTTTAGATCGAAAACTTAGATTTAATTTATCAAATTTCTCTTCATATTCATGCAATTGTTCCAAAGGACCGAATTTTTTCATTAGCATCCAGTTTTTTTTATATAAACAGATTAGGCGTTTCAGAATTGTTTTTTTTTCAATATTTTCGGTTTCCGTTCGGAATTGGTATTATGAGGCCCGGAAAAGATACATTTGCGCATCAAAAAGATGAAACTTTCCAGAATAGCTTAAAATATTACGCGATTTTTTTGGTTCAGCTCGAAAATACAATGCTTGCAAATTCTTTCATGGTATTCCAAGGAAAGCATAATCTTCTTGGGCCCCCGAACCTGACTAAATCTATTAGGCAACAAATTTTATAGCGTGGAGGCTAGAACAAAGTGCTAACGAGCGGAGGAAACACCTCCAAGAAGGCCTCCAATTTTCCGCAGTGAACCCCGCCGAGGCGCCCCAACCCTGTGCCCGCAGCCAAATAGATTACTGCCCCCGTTTTTTCCGGGGGTAGTCTTTGAATTGGGCCTATTTCAAGGGCATTTCACAAGTTTCTGCTAATATTATAGTAAAGGTATTAATAAAACGGCTACGGTCTGCCAATACAAGCGTAAATCACGTAGTAAAATGCAAGAATACTAGAACAAAGTCTTGCTTGATTTTCAGAGCAAAGTATAGAGTTCAAGCCGAAAAAAACTAACGTAACAAGAGCGCTCAGAATTTTATAAGATAGCAAAACACAGTACCTGTTGAGGCCAGTTTGCGGGCGGGGTTTCGCGCCCCCAGCGGACCACCCGGAAATTGCTCATTCGGGTTGGAAGCTAAAAATTGCATGATGTCAAAATGAAAATAAAAAAAATCGAAAATAGAGAAATTTAGATGAATTTTAAAGAAATTGAATTCGTTTCATGAAAAACGCGAAAAAGGAAAAAATCGCATTCACCGACTTTGGCGTACAGCACGGTCAACCGTAACGTCAAAATCCGTCCTTTGGATTGTCGTGTAGCTCTTGTACGATACTTTACGCTTGCATCGATCGATTTGTTTTGTAAACTTTGTAATTTGATATTGTAAGAATTTTATATATTTAAAAAACACTACGTTGTTTGGCCCCAATTCTAAGCCTTTTTTTGCTCAAAAACAGTGTGAAATTTCAGTGCGGCGACGAAAACGTTTTGATCATTATTTTTGAAGTTTTACAAAATCTTATCTACATCGTTTTCCGTAAACTCTGATGATTTAAAATGATTTTATGTGTTGAAGCAACCTCAAATTACAGATGGCGCCCACGAAAATATTGGCGGTGGGCGACGTGAACGGCAAGTTCTACCAGCTGCAGAAGAAGCTGAACCAAATCGTCAAAAAGGTGCGTGAAACGCTTTGACCTTAGATGTAGAACATTTTAGAGCGGCCCCTTCGACATGCTACTGTGCGTGGGCGAATTCTTCGGCGAGGACGACGACCTGAACCGGAAGCTGATGGACGGGCAAATCGATTTCCCGGTGCACACCTACATTCTCGGTAGGGATTGAGCTTCAGTTTTTGAAATTTAGTTTTTAGGACCGTGCTGCCCCTCGACTTCTGCCTACTACCCGGACGAGAATGCCGAGATCACGTCCGACATCACGTATCTTGGCAAGAGGGGCATTCTCAATTCGCCGTCCGGGCTGACGATCGCTTATATGAGCGGGCTTGAAGGTAATCGGTTACGAATTTTACTCCATATTCCATGGCAAAGTACTTTAAAAACTTCGAACAATCTAGGAAAAGAGGGGCTTTAGATCGAAAACTTAGATTTAATTTATCAAATTTCTCTTCATATTCATGCAATTGTTCCAAAGGACCGAATTTTTTCATTAGCATCCAGTTTTTTTTATATAAACAGATTAGGCGTTTCAGAATTGTTTTTTTTTCAATATTTCAATGCTAAAAGCTGCAAGTTTGTAAAAAACACCCTAATCTGGATCGAGTTTTATGCTTGGAAGAGGGAATCGAGGCCTCCCGGAAAATTAATTTTTATCGAGCTGGAAAAATTTTATTTATCGTGTTCTTTTTTAGGCCAGAGCTCCAGCCAAGTTCAGTTCAACATCGACGACGTGGTCAACATGCTAAAGCCGGTGGAGGCCGTCGGCGAATTCACCGGTGTCGACATTTTGCTGACGAGCGTTTGGCCGGCCGAGGTTTATTCAGTTTTAACATTTGTAAAATTTATTTTAGGTGGCTAAGCATTCCACAAACGTGCCACCAAAGGAGATTGAGGGCTCGAAATTGATCTCACGTCTCGCGACAGGTAAAGCACTTTTACGAAAGAAACTAATAAAGCGATTTTAGGCCTTCGTCCAAGGTATCACATTGCTGGCGGCGGGATCCACTATGAGCGTACGCCGTACAGGTTCGGAATTCGGGGCTGATAAGCAATTTGTTTTTAGAAATCATCGTATCATCGTGGAGAAGCAACGGCATTGCACCCGGTTCATCGGACTCGCCGCGGTGGACAACACGGAAAAGGAGAAGTGGATCTACGCCTTTGCCATCCAGCCGCTGAAGGGCATGACGAGGTTATTTTTAGTGATTTTTTTGTATATTTGATTTAGAGACGAGCTGACCGTGCAGCCAGATAATGCCACCGAGTTCCCATACATGGAGATTCTGGAGGCACAAGTGGAAAAGTACGTTTTGTTGCTGGAATTGCTAATTGAAGATATTTTCAGGGAGCGTGACGCGATAATGAACAAGCTGTCCAACGAGGGTGGCGCCCGGAATAACTTCTTCGACATGAACGTCGATATGAACAAGGACAACGACATCGGCTCGCGAAAACGGAACAACCGAGAATTCCTCGGGAATGGTTAGAAGTTTTTTAACTAGCTTTGATTTTCGCTTTAGATGATGGCCCGGCAAACAAGCGCGAGCAGCAGCCCTGCTGGTTCTGCCTATCGAACGTCGATGCCGAGAAGCATCTAGTGGTATGAGAGCGGCTTTCTTTGCCTAAAAGGGAATTTGATTAGGAGAAAATTGAAAAAAAAGATAAAATCGAAGATATTGACCATCTCCATGTTCCTCAAAAGGCGGCCGGACATTTTTCGAAAATCACTTTTCGGAACTCATTTCGTCGGAAGTCTTGATTTCCAGAGATGTTTTCGAATTAGCTTTGCTATTTCATATCCTTTGTGACCATTTCCTATTGAAAGCTGGACGCAAATTTTTCGAATTTCGAATTAAGACTAAAAAAAACTGATTTTCTAAAATGTCACCTCGGAAATATGAATTTCATCACTATTAGGCTTCGAAAAAGTGATTTTCGGAATTGGGATTTCCGAAAATGTATATGCAAATCTCTGAAAATTTGCTAGGGACTTTTGAGTATTTCTATTTTTAACCCCTTTAATGCATTAAAAAAGGATAGAAATTATCATTGTCCATTTTACATTACAAAAATTAAAAATGGCAATTTTGACGCGATCTGAGCTGACTTTAGGTGTCGATTGGAAGCACCTGCTACGCGGCAATGCCGAAGGGGCCGTTGACCGACGATCACGTGCTTGTGCTGTCCATTGGTGCGTTGCGTAGTATATCCTTTTAAGCATATTTTAGGCCATATCCAATCACTAGTCGCTGCCCCGGCGGACGTGCGCGAAGAGCTCGACAAGTACAAGAATGCGTTTACATTGGCGGCTGATAAGGTATTAAAAAAAAACCCATTTTTATCCTATTTCCGGTTTTTTTTTTCAGGCAAACAAGGCGTTAGTCGTATTCGAGCGGAATTTCAAGACGCAGCACATGCAGCTACAAATGATCCCCGTTCCGAAGGTGAACTTTGTAGACGATTTTTCAAAGACTGCTACTTTAGAGCTGCGTGAAGGGGCTGCGCACCGCGTTCCTCAACCACGCCAACCTCACCGGCATCGAGTTTACGTTTTTGGGCGAGAAGGATAATGTGAGGAATTTATTTTTGCTAAGTGCTAGTAGCTAGTTGCTAGTTTTCTGGAACTGTGCTATATCTTATATATCTCTTTTCTTCTGATATCTTTTTTTCGATTACCTATCATTTTCTCGAAAATCAACATCTCGAAAGTTCGTTGAAAGTTCATTATCTCGAAAGTTAATTATCTCGAAAGTTCGTTATCTCGAAAGTTAATTATCTCGAAAGTTCATAACCTTGAAACCCGGTCCTTACCATTCTACTCAACTTTTTGTTATCAACCCGATATTGATGTCACAAATAAAATAAAAAGCATTTATTCCGATATATCATTTAATCAAAGGTCTGGGGAAATGACTTGACGAAGTTAATGGTTTGATAAGCATCATAGCTCTCGCAGAGGGCTTGTTGCGCCTGGTGGTCGGGACGCAGCTCTTTAGCCTTGTATCCTTGTTGCTGCATTTCCAGAATTCGACTGTTCGAGATATTTAACTTTCGAGATAATGAACTTTCGAGATAATTAACTTTCGAGATAATGAACTTTCGAGATAATTAACTTTCGAGATAATGAACTTTCGAGATAATTAACTTTCGAGATAATGAACTTTCGAGATGTTTATTTTCGAGATGTTGATTTTCGAGATGTTGATTTTCGAGATAATGACAGAACCCCCTTTTTTTCCAGCTAGCCGATCTGGTGAACGAGGGCTGCCCGTATTTCTTTGTCGAGCTGCCGGATGGGACCCGGCTTTTCACGACCACAATGCGCAATTTCCCGCTTCAATTTGGACGCGAGGTCCTTGCATTGCCGACTGTCTTGGATTGCGAGGAAAAGGTCGGAAATCCTTCAAATTTTTCAATACACCTCTTTTAGGCCGACTGGCGAGCCTGCGCCCTCGACAAGGAAAAGGAGACGGAGCTGTCGAAGCAGCTGCAAGCCCGCTTCAAGCCCTTCGACTTCACTGACGATGGGGACAGCGATTGAAAAAGCCGCGTTGAAGGGATCGGCTAATTTTTTGTAATTGGAATTATTTTGATTGTCTGTTGTGGGGGAATAATAAATAAATCGCTGATGAGACTTTTTCGGCCTTCGATGTATTGAAATGAAATAAAAAGGTTCTTTCGCATTATCGGGGGCGCCGGGAACACAACTGTTTTTTCTTAGTTCTCATTTTTCAAGTACAAATAGTGGAAATGTTTTTAAATGGTGGTTTTTTAGTATTCCTAAACGTACAAACTTCAGAAATTTTCGCCGATTTTTGACTGAAATTTAGACCTTTGTCAACATTTTAAGTAGCTTTTTTCTAATTTAAATATAGTTTTATATGGCTAAAAATACTAGCAAAACAATTTTTTTAACTTACTAGGCACTTCCATACGTTTACAAAAAAGTTACCCCCCCCCTCCGATAACGTAAACGAACCAAGAAAAAAGAAAGGCCAATGAAAATCGCTCCTATTCGCGTCGAGCTCCTTTCGCCGACCATTCCCGGACCCAGTTCAGCCCAAAGCGGATAGGAAAACGTTTTCTTTCCAGCACTTCATCGGTCCAGCGCGCTCCGTTCTGAGCGAGTACTAGGAGCCAAAAGTCCATCCGGTGGCGTCCCGCATTCTCCGAACCTTTAATCATCTGAAATGATTAGTTTGAATTTCAATCTCCGTTATTTCGCATTATCGGGGGAGGGGGAACCGAACTTTTGTATCGGTCTAGAAATGCCTAGTAAATTAATGGAAGGTGTTTTAACAGTGTTTTTAGTAATATTTAACTAGGAAAACTATCTAAAAACTCCTAAAAGCGTCGAAATTTTGGCCAAAACGGCCATTTTTGGCCGAAAAAAAGATATTTTTTGGTATTGTTGATAAAAATTTGCAAGGTTTTCACGTTTAGGAAGTAAAAAAAACATTGAAAAACACTTCCACTCTTTATATTTAAAAAATTAGATCCTAAGAACAAAAAGCTGGTTCCCCCCGTACCCGATAATACGAAAGGACCTCAATCCCTACCCCCTTGTTTTAACATACATCGGTGTGGTAGAGGAGCTCCACGCTGTCGTCAGGGCCAAGCTGCGTTGTCAGAAAGGCTCGCAGCTGCTCCGGAAGTTCATGGTCGAGCTTAATCATGTTTCACCAAAAACCACACAGAAATTCACGTGATTCGCCAAAAACAATGAAAATCGAGACTAGCTGCTTTGGCGCCGTACCTGATCACCATAGTAAAACGTAATATTAAAGTCGATCAAGGTAAGACGAGGAGCATTGTTGATGGGTGGGTACTGAAACCGTCTTGTAGCTCGCGTTTTTGTATGTTCGCATCATCAGGAACAAAATTTTTTTTCTTGCGTTCCAATTAGCGAAGTGTTTAAAACCGCCTTTTACTATTTCTAAACGTAAAAACTTTACAAATTTTATTAAAAATACAAAAATATCTATTTTTCAACCAATAATGGCCGTTTTCGACCAAAATTTCGGGTTTTTTCAATATTTGGAAAGATTTTAGATCGTTTCTCTAGTTCAAATATAGTTTCGTTTTACCAAAAACATTATTAAAGTACCTCCTACTAAGTTACAATACTTTTATAGACATACCAGCGCCCAAAACCCGCTTCGCGGGCCTTGGGCGCTGGAATACGGCCTTTGCATAAGAAATTTGACTTTCCGATAGCTCGGGTCCTTCGGACCCCCTCCGCCCGGCCGACCACATGCGCGCGTGCAAGTTGCAAGTATGAAGACATTTCTATTTTTTCACATTATGCAAATTACCCCCAAAAATGAGTAAAACCGGCTTTAACTTTGTAAACTTGTATTTTATCAAAATTCTGAAAGCGCCATTGGAAACAGAAGGGTTGATTTCTCCAAGTGACGGAGAATTAGAGCATTTTATGCACGGGAAGGCCCTCAAATCGGGCCTTGAAAGTGACATCCACACACACACACAGTTACACGCCAAAATTATATAAGGTAGGATACAAAAATGCAAAACTGCGAAAAACCGATTTCACCAATTTTGCCAACCGAAAAGCAATTTTCTCAGCTCTTACCTGGACCAAAGCTGCCTCGAGCAACACGGTCACGATGCTAATAGCCTCGGGAAAATAATGTGGGCGCAAATAACCCGCGTTAACCCGTATTCTCTCCAGATGAGCAACCTGAAAATGTCATAGCTCCATTACGAATTAACTCCAGAATGCCGATTTTCCATAATAACGATTTACGGAGTGTCGAGTTATACAATGCTTATTTAAAGCATGCCGAGCTTTATAATGCCGATTTTGGTGCTATTTTCGTGGGGCTGAAAATCCTATGTAGTTTCGATTTTTTTCCTAGAAAATCTAGGAAATGCTAAGAAATGCGCTCATGAGAGGTGGGGGCGCTCCGTAGCGTTCCTATGCCCGCGCGCACACTATGCTTGCCTACCGATCCATGATTTTTCGAGAAAGGGGCCAAAAAAAACTCACAAATTTTCAACTTCAAACGCCTATAACTTTCGAAAACGACGTTGTTGTGGGGAGTCCACCGATACGAAATATAGAGAAGACTCTTGCGCACATTATGGGAGGGGTTTTAAGGGTGATTTAGCGTGAAAATAAGGATTTATCTAGGATTTAAGCCGGAAAAATTGCGAAAATACGAGCTTTGTGCGCCGCGTTTTTCTTCGCGTTTAGCCGCATCCTTCCGGGTTTTTTCACCGATATTCATCGGAAAAGAATCGGTACTGTCAAATTGGGTACTTCTGCGGTCCTGGGAAGTAAAAAAGGTGCTGAATGAGAGATCCTAATAATTGAACAACTGAAGCTAGTCAAAGTTTCCAGCTTTGTACGGATGAACGGGCTTGAAATCATTGAATTGTGGCTAATTTGAGCAGTACATGTCTTTGTTATTATGATATTCCTTTATTGAGCGAGTCGGCACCATCTGAGACAATTTCTTCTTTAGAGCCCGGGAAATAGCAAAACTTTTTATTTTCCGCTTGGGTTTCTCTTTAGATCGGTTTTGGATCCCCTTCTGTACCTTTTGCAAAAAAGTGCAAAACCCTAACGGGCTTCTGTCGGTCAGAGAAACCGAACCAGCACCCTCTGCCTGGAGTTGGGACCGGCGCCTTAGACCACTAGGCCACGCCCTCCCCCACCCCCATGCGCGCCCTGACAGGCAGTGAGTTGTATACCTGTTTCTATACTTTTTCTTTAGTTTTATAAAAGCAAGCCGAAAATCTATCACTACGCTTTTATACGTTTACGAAAAACCTGTGCAAAAATTTTCAATAAACAAAAACGCATATTGTCTTTTCATCCCCTTTGCCTCCACCGGCCAAATTTTTCTTTTTTTAATTTTTCAAAATTTTCAAAATTTTCTGTCCTGTAAATCGGCCATCTGTATATGTAAAATCGGCCTTTTGAGCATCACCCTCCATTACCACAAAACAACGGGTGAAGAGGCTATGTACCTGCTCGAAAATCTGCTGAAAGCACGCCGGGTCTGTCGGTCCCCCAGTTTTCGGCGTATCCGGCAAGTAAATCTCCACCTACAAGAGACATTTAGATGAAAAGTCGCCCCAAAAACGCACAGCCGAATTATGTCTGCTGGTAGTTTTGCGTGCTTCACGGAGCTTCACAATCAGCGGCGCATCGCGGGCCAAACATTGATGTAGAGCATTGATCGGCCAGCGGCAGATATCAAGCTTATAGCGGATGCAACCGCTGTCCACCTGAACACGGAAAGATGATCAAGGTTCGGTTCTTTCGCATTTTCGGGGGGGGGGGACTTTTTTGTCAAAGCCTAGATAACTTTTTAAAAAGTCGAAATCTTGGCCAAAAATCGGCGATTCTCGGTCGAAACATAGATTGGTTGGTCGAAAGTTGGTCCCCCCTTCGACCGAATTTTTCCTACATCTTTGACCAAAAAGTAAAAAAGGTTAAAAATTTCTTGTAATTTTTTTATCGAGATAATATCTAAGAACCGTGTAAAATGCTTTGAAATGGTTCATATTTTGGCTAAAGGGCCGTACGGAATTGCTGAAGAAAAAGAAATGCCCCCCCGTTAACAGGGAAGAACCTTGAAGAAAACGCATCAACTCACAATATGACACGGGTTACAAACGAAATTGACTTCACAAGGGGGCATCGCAGCAGTCAGTCGATTCAAAAAATCGAGCTGAGCTGCTTGGGATGTGATCATCGTGGTGGTGTTGTACTGGTTCTTGGCAGGCGACGCCGGCGCGCCGGTACTAAACAAAAATGGTTTTAAAAGGCTCGAGAAAGATGTTTTTGGCGAAAAAGTAAAGAATTTAGCACCGGGCGGGAGTCGAACCAGCGATGGTTCACCCCATAGCCCAGCGTGCTAACCAGCCCGCCAGCCAACCGCCAATGGCGCCAACCGATCCCCGCCTCGCCGAAAACCCATCAAATACCCTTGAGGCCTTCCTTCGGCCGTTTCCGGGTTTCTCACGTTGGCCTCCGCCGAAATTTTACTTTGCATAAAAATTACGAATTCCTAATACGAGCGGCAGTCATCAACATTGGGTGTACTTGCAAATAAATAACCCGGCAAATATTGTCACCAACTTTGGTGTAGATCCTGGAAATAAAAATAAGAAAAAGGTTATTTTAGAGCTTCGGGATGCGAAAAGGTAGCTTTCGACCCAAAAAGCAAAAAATAAAAACCGGGAGCGGGTCTGAACCCTCGTTAGAATCCCGAGCGACCGCCCCCCCAGTACAGCGCTGGACCACCAGGGCCACGGCCTGTAACTCCCGGAACAAAAAAAAAAATTGAAAAATAGGGGTATAGACCAACAATCTAGCAAAAGAACCTAAAAAGGCTGGAAAATTTTGGAAAATTTCGAAACAATTGAAAAAATTACGATTTTTGGCCGAAAATTCGCAAAAAAAATGACCTGAAAATCATCGAATTCGGGCCCGACCCGGGCCCAACGGGCCCGGCACAAAAACCCGGCCCGGCCCGGGCCCGCCGCACCATAGGCCCGGCCCGTTGTCAAGGCCTGGTTAGGAGGTTCCCTTGTATGCAGACTCACTCGTCTTTGTATTCCATTCCGAGGTGTTTCGCGGGGTTGGCCACTGCGATTAGCAGAGCGTTTGGGCAGAACGTGTAGTCAATTATTCGGACATCCGAACGGGCACAATCCGCACCCTTAAATCGACGATAGACAGGGGTCCTTTCGTATTACCCGCAAGAGGGACTCAAATTTTTCCGATAAATCGAGCAGTACCTAACAAGCCAATTTTTCCCTGGCGGTCCCTGTTGGTCTAGTAATCAAATCTAAAGTGTTTTCAAACTGTTTTTAGTAAGTTTTAACTATATTTGAAGTAGAAGAACCGTTCAAAAGTTAGAAAATGTTTGAAAAAGTCGAAAATTTGGTCATTTTGGGTCGAAAAAACCAAAAATTCTATATATTTCAAAAATCGGATGAAAAGGGAAAAGTACCCCCCCCCCCGATAATGAGAAAGCACACCCAAAAACATACGCCGCATGCACCGAGGAGGCGAACGTATTGAAACCGCGTCGCAAAAAGGAAACGATGAGCCGGTTTTTCCTTGAACACCTGAAACGGATTGCAGAACGAAATTTGACGAAAACTGTGCCTATAGACATGCGGGTTCTAGGCTGTTAGCGGGGTGAGGGATTTGTAGTTGGGGTTACCCAATTTTTCCCAGGAATTTCGCACGTGCCTCCCCCCGCAAACAGTCCAGAACCGAAATACCTTCGCAACGCGCCGAAGCTCGCGCTTTGCCCAAAAGCCCAAATGATGGTAGACGGCCAGCCGTTGCGCATCGTTGAGCCTCAGAAAATCGAAGCTAGCAGGTGACGTCATTCCGGATCGTAGTGTTAATGCCAAGGAAAATGATTTTGGGTACGAAATGGATTGTTTGATGTCTCCAGGCCCGTACGGGAGCCGAGATTTCGGGGGGGGGGCACCCACCCAAAAATTTTTGGCGACCTCCCCCCCCGGTCGCCACTTTCAAAACATTCGAAAATAGCGACAATAACAGCGCCGCAGGCGAAAAAATTTAGAAAACCGCGTTGGAAACGCTTAAATTCGTGTGAAAACACATCGGAAACGGCGCGCGCAAGCGAAATTTTGTGCAGAAAAAGGTGCACTAATGAAAACGAGCGCCGCAGGCAGAAAAATCCTAAGGGCTCCCCCGGTAAGTTTTACCTCTGAAAGGTTTCGCTGTTTTCGCCATTTTGATCGGGATTTTTTTAAACGCCATTCGATAGAGCGTCAAAAATATACGAAGAGTTTTAATTTAAGCCTACAATAATGTAAAATAAGCCTCCCAGGCAAAATGTTTGCAAATAAAACTGATACATTCCTACAAAAACCAGTGCTGCAAGCGAAAATTTTTGGAAAAATAGGTTTTATCGCAGTTTAAATAGTTTTAAAAACAATAATAAATAGCGCCGCAGGCAGAAAAATTTTTATGAAAAAAATCATAAGGGTCCCCCCTTATGAACTTTTCGGACCTCGCCCGATTTCGGGGGGGGCACCGTGCCCCCGGTGCCCCCCCCCTCGTACGGGCCTGGATGTCTCCCACATCTCTGCGTTGACCCCCACATCTGCTCAATGTTATGGATTGCGGGCTATTAATGTTCGTCCGTTTGTCGAGCTAATGACGCAAAAAAATAGGCCGATCGGGCATTTTCAAGGGGAATTCAAGTTGGATCTGAAAGAGCGTCAAAAATGGTGCTGAACAAGTTTTGTGACGAAACTTGGGAGGCCCTGGTGTAATTGCTCAGATTGTTCGAAGTGTTCACTTTTGTCGTTTCGGAGCAACGGATTTTTTCGGGAAATCTCTCTCTCTCTCTCTCTCTCTCTCTCTCTCTCTCTCTCTGTCCTCTCGTTTCTCTTCTCTCTCTGTTTCTCTCTTTATTCTCTCTCTCTCTCTCTCTCTCTCTCTCTCTCTCTCTCTGTCTCGCTGTCTCTTTCTTTCTCTCTTTCTCTCTTTCTCTCTCTCTCTCGCTGACTCTCTATCGCTTTCTCTCTCTCTCTCTCTCTTTATGCCCTTTTCTGTATCGATGCAGATCGATTCAAAATCCATTTACTTCCATCAACAAAATACACAATAACTGAAGACAACACAGGTCACCAAATAATTTACAGAAATTATGCGCTGGGGCAGAGATCAGGGCGGCGGGATAGGGAGGAAGGCGGGGTGGGTTTTGGAGTGAAACATACTTCGTTGGGGAGTGGGCCATAAAGCATACGGTAGATCGGGTGGTGTTTAGGGTTTCATGGCGTCATAATTAGTTGTAGTTTGTAGTGCAGAATTTTTCAGGATTTTTATCTGGGCTTTAGGAGAAGGTATTGTCAGGGTGAGATCAAAGTGGTACCCTAGCGTTTTAAGGGGCTTAAGTTTAGGTTTAGGTTTTGGCTTAGGTTTTGGCTTAGGCTTAGGCTTAGACTTAGGCTTAGGCTTAGGCTTAGACTGGGGGCTTAGGCTTAGGCTTAGGCCGGGCTTAGGCTTCGGACGCCAAGTAAAATAGAGGAATTTTAATCACAAAAACCAGATGCCATGCGCCGTTTAGGCATGTTGTAACCGCGGAAACAACTGGGCATCCATCTCAAAATCGAAGCCCACGACGAGCGTCCGGTCTCGGAACTCGGGCTCGATTTTCTCGAGCTCCACGTGCTTCGACAGCTCCACGGGAAGAAGCGAGCCGAGATGGGTGGAGAGGATTGCCTAAAAAAAACATAATTTTACAGGTCGAGAAATTGGATGGGATTCCCAAATGTTCTCTGCTAGCCTGCCCCTTCCATTCCCAAATGATCTCTGCGGCTTATTTTCAGAATGTCGAAATTCATAATGTCGAAACTCATAATGTCGAAATTCATAATGTCGAAATTTCATAATGTCGAAATTTCATAATGTCGAAATTTCATAATGTCGAAATTTCACAATGTCGAAATTTCATAATGTCGAAATTTCATAATGTCGAAATGTCAGAATGTCGAAATTCAGAATGTCGAAATTTACATAGGCTAAAATTCCCGGTAAAGCCCCCAAATTCTAGGCAAAAAAATGTTGTCGTGAGATAAGAGAAAAAAATAGAATGTGGAAAAAATTTTTTGGCTAGGCTTTGGCGGTTTAACTGGTAATATTAGCCTATGGAAATTTCGACATTCTGAATTTCGACATTATGACATTTCGACATTATGAAATTTCGACCAGATGAAATTTCGACATTATGAAATTTCGACATTATGAAATTTCGACATTATGAAATTTCGACATTATGAAATTTCGACATTATGAATTTCGACATTATGAATTTCGACATTATGAGTTTCGACATTATGAATTTCGACATTATGAATTTCGACATTATGAAATTTCGACATTATGAAATTTCGACATTATGAATTTCGACATTATGAATTTCGACATTATGAATTTCGACATTATGAAATTTCGACATTATGAAATTTCGACATTATGAATTTCGACATTATGAAATTTCGACATTATGAAATTTCGACATTATGAAATTTCGACATTATGAAATTTCGACATTATGAAATTTCGACATTATGAATTTCGACATTATGAATTTCGACATTCTGATAGCAATTCGATCTCTGCTAGCCTGCCCCTTCCATTCCCAAATGATCTCTGCTAGCCTGACCCTTCCATTCCCAAATGATCTCTGCTAGCCTGACCCTTCCATTCCCAAATGATCTCTGCTAGCCTGCCCGTTCCATTCCCAAATGATCTCTGCTAGCCTGCCCCCTTCCATTCCCAAATGATCTCTGCTAGCCTGCCCCTTCCATTCCCAAATGATCTCTGCTAGCCTGACCCTTCCATTCCCAAATGATCTCTGCTAGTCTGCCCCTTCCATTCCCAAATGATCTCTGCTAGCCTGCCCCTTCCATTCCCAAATGATCTCTGCTAGTCTGCCCCTTCCATTCCCAAATGATCTCTGCTGGCCTGCCCCTTCCATTCCCAAATGATCTCTGCTAGCCTGCCCCTTCCATTCCCAAATGATCTCTGCTAGCCTGACCATTCCATTCCCAAATGATCTCTGCGGCTTATTTTCAGAATGTCGAAATTCAGAATGTCGAAATTTACATAGGCTAAAATTCCCGGTAAAGCCCCCAAATTCTAGGCAAAAAAATGTTGTCGTGAGATAAGAGAAAAAAATAGAATGTGGAAAAAATTTTTTGGCTAGGCTTTGGCGGTTTAACTGGTAATATTAGCCTATGGAAATTTCGACATTCTGAATTTCGACATTATGAAATTTCGACATTATGAAATTTCGACATTATGAAATTTCAACATTATGAAATTTCGACATTATGAAATTTCGACATTATGAAATTTCAACATTATGAAATTTCGACATTATGAAATTTCGACATTATGAAATTTCGACATTATGAAATTTCGACATTATGAAATTTCGACATTATGAAATTTCGACATTATGAATTTCGACATTATGAATTTCGACATTCTGATAGCAATTCGATCTCTGCTAGCCTGCCCCTTCCATTCCCAAATGATCTCTGCTAGCCTGCCCCTTCCATTCCCAAATGATCTCTGCTAGCCTGCCCTTCCATTCCCAAATGATCTCTGCTAGCCTGCCCCTTCCATTCCCAAATGATCTCTGCTAGCCTGCCCCTTCCATTCCCAAATGATCTCTGCTAGCCTGCCCCTTCCATTCCCAAATGATCTCTGCTAGCCTGCCCCTTCCATTCCCAAATGATCTCTGCTAGCCTGCCCCTTCCATTCCCAAATGATCTCTGCTAGCCTGCCCCTTCCATTCCCAAATGATCTCTGCTAGCCTGACCCTTCCATTCGCAAAGAATCTCTGCTAGTCCGCCCCATCTAAACCATATTTTTGTCTTCAACTCTCCTGTGAAACCCGATTATTCTTACCTCCAAGTACTCCGTCGACTTGTCCATAATCGACTGCAAATTGTCGATAAACTTGTCCATGGCCGGTTTCACTGCGACTCCGTACGACACCTAAAATGGGCTTAGATACTTCAGTCCTCGCGCTTCCTACCGTAATCTCGAGGATGTGGACCCGGGCGGACCATTCGTAGGTGCCAGGTGCTCTGCCCCGTCGGATAAGCAGCTTCGTGAGCTTGAGCACGATCTCAGCGTCAAATTGGGCATAGAGGGTGTCTTCGGTGAAGAGATCGTCCTGCGGGCGATAGCTGAAATTGTGGTTTATGGGTTGTAGTTTGAAGTCACGACTTATTTGAGTAAGCGGCCTAAGCCCTAAGCCGAAGCCTACGCCTAATCAACCTCGCTCTCTCTCTCTCTCTCTCTCTCTCTCTCTCTCTCTCTCTCTCTTTCTCTCTCCATCTCGTTCTCTCACTCTCTTTCTCTAGCTGTCTCTCGCTCTCTCTCACCTCAATTCTACAGTAGTCTTGAGACGAATAGCCGCGTGACCCGGATGAAATCGGACCTTCGGTGAAGCACGCGAGCGAACGACGAGACGACCTGGAAATCCGAATTTTTCGTTTAATTTTTGCTTCCCAAATGGATGCTGATCGTTTTTCATTCAGCCCCAGGCTTCCCAAATTTTCTCTGCTAGCCTGCCCCAACCCTGAATTCCCAAATACTCACCGCTAGCCGCATTTACCCCGTCCAGCTGGGCGTAATGCCCGATGCAGGGCTCGTACTTGGCGCAGCTGGGCCTCAAAAAGTCGGCGATCTCCGGGAGGACGTGGAGATTGAAGCGGACGTCTCCGAATGTCGACAGTTGACGCAGGAAGGTGGAAACAGTATGGTCCGAGATGTAGGTGTAGCCCATACGCTCGATGTCAGATGGGGAGGTCTGAAATGAGGAAGTATGGGCGTGAGCTTAGGCTTAGGCTAGGCTTGGGTTAGGCTTGGACTTAGCTTAGGCGTAGGCTTGGGCTTTGTTTAGGCTTAGGCTTAGGATTAGATTAGGCTTAGGCTTAGGCTTAGGCTTAGGCTTAGGCTTAGGCTTAGGTTTGGGATTAAGCGCAAGCGTAGGCTTAAGCTCGGAAACCCACCGCCAAATGGTGCGGCTTCTCCTCGATGGTCGTCCGGTTGCTCGAGAATTCGCCTCGGATCGCGAGCTGAGCGTAGCTTGAGGCTACTTCCGGTTCGGCAGTCAGTCGGGTGTCGAACGAAACGTCTTGGCTGCAAAAATTGGGTTACGCCAAGTTGCTTAGGCGTAGGCTTGGGTTTAGCTTTGCTTTGCTTCGGTTTGGATGACGTTTTAGAAGTTAGAAATGTTTTTAACAAGCAAAAACGTGGTTTTCAGTTTTTTTATACCCTTAATAAAAGGCCGAAATCAGCACGAACCTTTACAACCCCTTTAAAGCCACCTGAAATGCTTGGCGGTGGAGAGGGGGTTGAGGAAATGGGCCAGCGGGGGCAGGTTCTCCTCAAAGTTCTTCAGCGAGGCGTCAAAAGCCGGGCATACGGCTGCTTGAACTCGTCGGGTTAGGGTTTCCTGAAAATGGATTAGAGAACCGTTCCTCAAGAATCTTTGCTAGCCCCCCCTTTCCTAAAGAATCTCTGCTAACCTGCCCTTTCCTAAAGAATCTCTGCTAGCCTGCCCTGTCCTAAAGAATTTCTGCTACCCACCTGCAGCTTTTCAGCAAACGGCAATCCCAACTCGGGCTCCAGGGTTACGGTAGCCGGCTGGAGACGAAATTGGCAAGAGTGGTCGATCAGCTGCAATATCTGCGCCTCCTCTTTTAGCAGGAATTTTCGCCTACCTTCAGTCGACCCTCGAACGTCTTCAGGAACTTGAGCTTCAGCTCGACGTCAAGTCCGGTGAGTTCGGCTTCGAATTGGCCTTGGCGGGTGGTGCGGAAGATGTTGAGGTATTGGCCGCGGAGCTGGAAATTGGAGGTTGAGAGAGAGAGAGGGAGAGAGAGAGAGAGAGAGAGAGAGAAGTGAGAGAGAACCAACCTTTGTTCTCCCGTCAGCAGCCATAACGCGGAACGTGCCGTCGCCCAGATTCTAAAAAAATACTTTTTATTGAATTTTTGTGGCATAAAATACAGCAACAAAATTAAAAATACCTTACCTCCGTGCTAATCACTGGCGCTTCAAAGTCCGCAACCTGCACCTCATCTACCGTCAAATTTGCCCCAAGGATCGATGCTTCTAGTCGAGGTGGGTGACTTCGGATGAGGTCGTGTCGGAGGACGGCCAAGAATTTCTAGAATCGATCGGTTGATATGGGATATTTTGCTTTCGGAAACGATCTCTGATAGCCTGCTCATCATAAGATGACGGCCGAAGCCTAGGCCTAAGCCCAAGCCCAAGTCCAAGCCTAACCCTAGGCCGAGCCCAAGCCCAAGCCAAGCCTAAGCCGAAGCCTAATCTTAAGCCAAGCTAACCCACCTGTTTCAAGTATTTCATGGCGTGTTCGGTTAGGCGGAGGGCCACTCCGGGTTTGTCGCCCGGTTGTAGGGTAGGTTGTGGGGCTTCGAAAGTGACGGCTTTCTCACGCCGGATCGTTTCGACTAGAAAGATTAATTTGAGGTGAACTCTCTCTCTCTCTATCTCTCTCTCTCTCTCTCTCTCTAAAAACGCACATAATCTCTCGACTTCTCGCTCCTTGGCTAGTCGGTGGATGGTCTCCTCCAACCCCCGGAGCAGCGGCTCCTCTCCATAATTCTCATACTCCAGGAAGTTGGCTGCTTCATCGGAGTCGGTCTCCGGCGAGTCGTGGAATTGGTGTTCTAACTAAAAAATAGTTTATAACATTTCTACTTTTTTTGTCGGGATTTTGACTATCGGGTTTTGGTTGTCGAGATTTTGGCTGTCAGTATTTTTGATGTCGGTATTATGCCTGTCGGGATTCCGTTCAAAAAATTTCCGCAACCTCAGAGCCATATCTTTCATGCTGTAATGCCATAAATCACCCTGCCCTCGAGATTCCGATCCGAGACTCCTTGTCGAAATGGGGGGAGAGGAAAGTAAAAGTATGCGGTATGCGGTGGAACCGTAAAGGGAGCAGAGCAGCAGCTCGTGCTCATCTCCTTGTTTGCCCTCATCGCAGAACCGGTTAAGGGGAGATTAGCCGACAAGACTCGGGTCGGCAACGCGCCAAAAATATCCCTCACGCAGGGATTTTGGGCAAATATTTTGCAGAAAAAATTCGAGAGATTGTAAGCTCTGCGCTAAAGACTTGCTCTTTCTCTCTCGCTCTCTCTCACGCGCTCTCTCTTTTTTGGCGCTCTCTCGCTCACCCTCAAATTCCTCGACTTCCTCGACAATATTTTGTAGCCGTCGAGCTGGGTGACGACAAAAAGTAGGGTGAATACTATCTGCATAGATCGCATTTCGGCATCAATATCTGAACTTGTGAGTTTATCGATAGAAAGCGAGAGAGGGCGAGACATAGAGAGAACGAGAGAGAGCGAGAGAGAGTGACAGAGAGCGAGATAACGAGAGAGAGAGCCAGAGAGAGCGACGGAGCAAGAGCAAGAAATTCAAAAACTCAACCATTTCAAATTTTCGGACCTAGAAATAGGCTGGTTGACGTCAGCGGCTCATCAACCACAGGAAATCAAGGCAATAAGGTGGGGAGGGGGGGGATGACTACGCGTCTGGACTATGAACGGTGGGAGGTGATTGAAAGCCCAAAAGCCAAAATGATGAGGGGTTAAAGGGACTGGGAAGGCGAGGTTCTATAGTTGAATTTCACTCGGGGCAAGCTAGCAGAGACACTCATGGAAATCGACATTTGGGACAATTTAAAGTATCTATGAGTTTAAAGGGAAAGTGACAGCAAGGGGCTAGGCAGACTAGCAGAGAAAGTTAAGGAAATCGATCTAATAACTTTAAAGGGAAAGCGTCGGCCAGGCAGGCTAGCAGAGGCGCTTTGCGGAATCGGAAAGACCGTGAACTCAAGTATTTTAAACGGACACAGCCGGGAATAAAATCATAGACTAGCAGCGACCACACAGGAACGTGCTCTAGTATGGGGGCAGGATAGCAGAGATGCTTTGCGGAATCCGTCGCAAAAACAGGGCAAGCTAGCAGATTCTTTACGGAACGGAATTCAAGGCAAGCCAGCAGAGATGCTTTGCGGAACAATAAACATACGAAAAATACGATTTTTATAGCCATTCAGCAGAATCTTGCGATTCCTAACACACATCCCGGGTACCGTACCCCACCCACGTGCTACCGGCCCCCTAAAGTTACCCAAAAATTGAGGCGCATCTCCGGGCCATGTTTCCCTTGTCTCGCTCGAGCTTATCGTTGCCAATTCGTGGGTCATAAATTGTTCGAAGAACCGAGATGAGGAGCCCGATTTATGGCCTCCACACCGCCGAATTTCCTGCTCAAACCGGATCCGGTTGGTCAGGAGATTGGGGATTTCCGCTAGGCTACTCATGACGGAGTTTTAAGGCAAATGTGGAATCAAGAAATCCGTGAAATCTGCAGAAAACCTTAAAGATATTCCATAGCCAAGGACAGGCTAGCAGAGATTCTTTATGAAACGGCAGGCTAGCAGAGGTTCTTTAGGAAAGGGCAGGCTAGCAGAGATTCTTTAGGAAAGGGCAGGCTAGCAGAGATTCTTTAGGAAAAGGCAAACTAGCAGAGCTTCTTTAGGAAATATCCGATAGCCCGACCATTTGGACAATTCTCCAAATTACAAAAGGTGAGGAAATACCGTTTGCCGAGTGTAGAAACTATAATCCAATGGCGGGTCCAAAAATAGGGACAGCAAAACCTCGAAAAGGTCATAAATTATCGGCGGCGCGACGGGTGCACAAACGGGGATTCTATTTACGGGCACGAGCACGCGGCGGATGAGAGCGAGAGAGGGGGGAGAGCGAGAGAGAGTGAGAGAGAGCCCTAGAAACAGCACAAAACGACGCCCATTATCTCTATCTACGAGGAGTGGTGGTGGCCGCAAATTGGGGAAATTTGTCGGTGACTGGCTGCGGATGATTTTTAAAAGAGCCGGAAATTGAGAGCGAGAGAGAGAGAGAGAGAGAGAGAGAGAGAGAGAGAGAGAGAAAAAGAGAGAGACCGCACGAAAGAAAGAGAAATTGTTCTAAAGGGACAGTGGCATGAAAATTCCTCGATTTAGCACTTAAATAGGTACTTAAATCGTTAATGGGCTATTCAAGTAAAATGTGGCAGTCGAATTCCTCAGCCATCTCTGCTAGCCTCCCCTTTCCTAAAGAATCTCTGCTAGCCTGCCCCCGAGCGTCCCGAATTTTTTGCTGTTTGGCCAGATGTCCATTAGCCAGAAGCCGCTGACCTAAAAAAAAATAATGGGGGAGACCCGGGGTTCCCGGAATAAGAATGAGCATTCCATTCCGGGGGACTGATGAGGTCCAGAAAGCGGAAAATTGACATTTTAAAGGGGTATAGACAGAAAGAGGGCTAGCAGAGATTCTTTAGGAGACGGCAGGCTAGCAGAGATTCTTTGGGAAATTCGGAGACAGGCCGGAATGTTCGCTTTTTCCCGTCTGTCAATGACAATGGGAAGGGGTGGACTGACAGACTTCCGGCCGGGCCGGACCTATGAAGGGAGAGAAAAAAGAGGAGAGAGAGAGAGAGAGAGAGAGCGAGAAAGAGAGAGAGAGAGAAAATACACATCCCCATCAACGGAAATAGCTCATCGGCGACTCTTACCGCAGCCAGGTTTTGAGGTTTTGTGGTCTGGCTACTGTACTTGGCTTAGGCTTAGGCTTAGGCTTAGGCTTAGGCTTAGGCTTAATTCTAGGCTTAGGCATAGGCTTAGCTCGGGCTCTACCAAGCTTTTGAAAAGAAGTCAATTAGACAAAGCACAAAGCCCAAAACGTTCAGAACAGCGATAAATAAGGAAAATCCGATCCCAGGGTCTGCCTCCCCCTCGGTGCGTCATTGAATGCAATCGTCTAAATTGTCGGGCGCACGATCAAAAAGAGAGGGCGCCGCGACGATCCAATGAACGAATTGTGGTTCCGGGATTTATTGGCAAAACGAAAATAAAAGGAAAATCTAGAGGCAAGCTAGCAGAGATTTTTTAGGAATGGGCAGGCTAGCAGAGATTCTTTAGGAAAGGGCAGGCTAGCCAGGGAATATGATTAAAAAACTTTCCGTTCTCTTAAAAACTGTCTTTTGCCATTTAATTACGCCACGCCCCCCTTGCAAAAGCTTATCGCAGCTGCCCAAAAGCCTGACGAATCCAAACAGCGTGCAAACAAAAAAGCGCATGACCAAAAATGGGCTGTACTTTCTTTCCCTCTCTCTCTTTCCCTCTCTCTCACTCGCTCTCTCGCTCTCTCCGTCTTTTAGACAAACCTTGTTTGTTATTTTATTTTGTGGGGGGGGGGGGGTTAAGCCATAATTTTTCAGACTTAATAAGCGGCTTACCAAGCCAGGAGACGCCCAAAAATATTATGATAAACCTTGGGGTGGTGGGTATCAAAATTAGAAAAAAGAGCAAGCTGGCAAAAGCCGGCGGCTAGCAGCGGCTAGCAGAAGCACTTTGCGGAATTCAGAAAATAGAAAGGTTTTGGCAAAAAGATGTGAATAGGGCAAGCTAGCAGCGATTTTTTGTGAAATTTTAGCTGTTAAAGGCACCAGGACAGCAACCCCAGCCTGAAAAACTAGCTCGCGAGAGCTCGAGTCAACCCTCCCAACTCCTTATAAACCATTCCCAGGCCCCCGTGCGGCTTATGACAGTCTATGGAATGCCCTCCCCCTACCGTAATCCCCTAGCCAAAAGCCGCATAAGCTGTTTTTGCGAAATGCGCTTATCGTCTTCGCTTCGTCGACGCATTCTTTCAAGGATTTCTTTCTTCGCGTTTTTTTTTGAGGTTCTGGAAAGGGGAAGCTTTCGACGGGGAGGGTCAAAGTTTCAAAAATTCTGCAAAAAAAGTTCTAGGAGCTCCAAACAAAAGACGAATTGCGTCACCGGAGGGGCTGTGGTTTGGGGTTAAACTTTGAGCATGAGGTTGGGATTCAGGGTAGGATAGCAGAGATTCTTTGGGTTAAGCTTAGGATTAGGCTAGGCTTAGGCTAGGCTCAGGCTTAGGCTTCGGCTTGGGTCTAAGCCTTGTTTCATGCCTAGGCTTAGGCTTAGGCTTAGAATTGGCTTGGGCTTGGGTTTAGGCTTGGGCTTAGGCTTAGGCTTAGGCTTAGGATTAGGCATAAGCTAGGTTTAGTTTTAGGCTTTGGTTTAGACCATAGGCTAATGGGGGGCTAAAGGGTTTGAGGCCCAACTTTGAGCATGAGCTTAGGATTTAAGAGCCAGCTAGCCGAGTGTCTTAGGGAATTACAACTTTTGCAAAATAGCAGGCTCAGGTTTGAGCTTTTTGGGCGTAGGCTTGGCTTAGGATTAGGCTTGGCTTGGGCCTAGGCTTAGGCTTAGGCTTCAGCTTAGGCTTAGGCAGGGATTCTCAGGATTTGCTGGAACAAAAGGAATCTAAATCTTTGGGCAATCTTAGGAACCTTTGGGCAGCGCAAATCGACGTTTAAGGCAATGGTAGGCTAGCGGAGATCATTTGGGAATGGACCAGATGGCGTGAAAGCAATAATTCTTCGCGTTGCCATATGGTGAATTGTGAGCCTGATTGGCCCGTCACCCACAAAGCAACCCCAAAAGAGATAAGCCTCTGCCCTATATCAAAACATCCCCTCCCCTCCCCCTTTCCATTTCCGTCGACGTCACAAGAACCAGGTTGAAATCACAGTCGGCATGCGCTTAGGCTACTGACGATTTTGGGGGATTACGTGGGCAGGCTAGCAGAGATTATTGAGGAAAGTGGAAGGCTCGGAAATTGATGAATTTTATACACAGCAGGCGCGCAGCGTTTTTTGGGCGAAAGCCGCCCGCCTGGACCTGAAACTCGAGCAGGCCAGCAGAGATCCTTGAGGAATGCCGCCGGCCCGAACCGAAAACTGGGGCAGGCTAGCAGAGGGCTCTGTGGAGAATTAATGCAGGAAATTGCCAAGATGCCGACAGCCAAAATCCAAAATTTTGGTTTGTCGGCATTTTGGACCGTCGGTATTGTGGCTATCGGCATTATTGTCGGAATTCACTCTCTGATTGCGGGCTCTTCTAGCCGCTTAGCCTAATCTTTGTTGATGCCTAGCAGTAATGCAAGGTAGCTTTTCGCACTTCCTCGTCCCTTTAAAATACCTCAACGAGGTTCCGATTCGATTCCTTGTCCTCCTTACCGTAACCCTTCAAAATCAGGGCCCATGGGGATCCTCACCCTAACTCTCTCGGGTCCAAATTTCGCTTCCTTACCCCCCCCCCCGTTATCAGATAAGCTGCTTAACCCCGGGCTTAATGCCCCCCGGGGAGCCGGCGAGGAATCTGTGGAATTCTGGCCTGTCACTCATCAAAACCCCCCCTCCAAATCGCCTGGCCGACAGTTTACGAGGTCATAAGGTGTGAAGCGGACTATTTTATGGGTAATTTACGAGTCAAGACATCATCTTGAGGAAATTTTGAGTCGTAAATTCAGGAATTTAGCTAGGCCACGTGGGTTGAATGGGTTCATGGAAGACGACGGCGGGGGATTCAGGATTCGGATCTTGTGTATTTGCAGGGCGGCATCTTTTTTCTTTTTTCTCGTGTATAATTTTCCTTAATTTAACATGCGAAAGCGTTTTTAGCCTCTTTTTAACCTTTCCAGACATGGAAACTTTGCAAAGCTGCTTAAAAATCAGGAAAAAGCCAATTTTTTGGCCTAAAATGGTCGATTTTCGAGTAGATTTTCTCACTCTCTCTCTCACTCTTAGAGAGAGATTTTCGAGTTCGGGTTTTAAATTTTTTAAGACATTTAGATAATTTTTTTCTGCAGAAAACAGAGATCCATTGCACTAAAAACTAATCGGAGGTTACTAGGCATACCCCCCACCCCCGATAAAGTGAAAGTACCGGCAAATGCCGGGTTCTCTATTGCATAGTCTCCCACTCTCTTGCTCGCTCATTCTCTCGCCTGCACTCGCCCTCTCTTCCTCTATATCTCTCGCTATCACTCCCTCTCTCTCGCTTTCTCTCGCTCACCCTCTCCCTCTCTCTCGCTTTCTCTCCCTTTCTCGCTCTCCCTCTCTCTCTCTCACACTCTCCCTCTCCCTCTCTCTCTCTCTCTCTCTCTCTCTCTCTCTCTCGTATCCCATATTTATCCCAAAAATACATCACGGCAAGACCACACAACAATAGATACAATCGGCAAGGATATGTCGTTTAGGTAGCTGATCGTGAATAGAAGAGATTCCAGCTGCTCCGGCCGATCCGTCAAGGGCAAGCAGGGCAGGGCCATTATCCGGGCTTCACCAGCCCGGCGTCGGGTGGCTGCTGCGGCGCGTCGGCCGTGTTTGTCGCGTTCGCCGCATCCGCCTCATTTTTCCTAAAAAATTGCTTGCAACATTATTCCATTCAAATTTCGTTTTTCACTTCCAAGAAAACCCAAAATGCCGAGGAAAAAAAGAACAACATTTGGATTTTAGATAATTTACGAAACAAGTACGTACATGGTGCTGCTCGTCGCTTCCAGCATTTTTGACGTGTTTTTTCCAGCTTCCTGGGCCGCAGCGAGCTCTTTTCGTTCCCGCCGAATCCGGCGTACTGAAATTTTGGCCTTTGGACCACAAAGAACCTTTGCTAGCCTGCCCTGGGCTTAGTCTTAGGCTTGGCTTAGGCCTAGGCTTGGGCTTAGGCTTGACTTAAGCTTGGCTTAGGCTTAGACTTGGACTTAGGCTTAGGCTTGGGCTTGGCTTGGCTTGGCTTAGGCTTGGCTTAGGCTTAGACTTAGTCTTAGGCTTAGGCTTGGGCTTGGCTTAGGCTTGGCTTAGGCTCAGGCTTAGGCTTAGGCTTGGCTTAGGCTTGGCTTAGGCTTGGCTTAGGCTTAGACTTAGTCTTAGGCTTAGGCTTGGGCTTGGCTTAGGCTTGGCTTAGGCTTAGGCTTGGCTTAGGCTCAGGATTAGGCTTGGCTTAGGCTTACTGCTTCCCAAAAGAGAAAACATACTATTCCTGATCTCGTGGACGCAGTAAAGGACGAGACACGCCACCAATCCCAGCTCTAACATCCCCAACAGGACCATCGCCAGCAGATCCGGCGGGACATGGAAGGGCAGCCGCGTCGTTGGTGGTGGTGTTGACGCGGGATACAGCCAGTGTTGCTGGAATTGCAGGATTTCGAGGAAGTAGGACAAGTAAACCTGGTAGGGAACGCCGCCTTCGGGTCGCTTCACCCTTGGGACGCCGCTCGGGTCCCCGAAATCGTATTTCTAAACGAGTAACAATTTCGTATTTCCTGATTTCCAAGCATCTGAAAAATCGAAAATAACGAAAAATAGGCCCCTAGGCAACGTACGCCGTTCGGGAAGTTGAATTCGACGAGTTCGCGGAAACCCGGGCTGAGCGCCGTTGCCAGCTGCATCGGCTCGTCGGCCCAGTCGTTACCTTTGAGGTCGTTGACTGAAAGAAAGGGATATGCATAGGCATAGGCGTAGGCGTAGGCTTAGGCTTAGGCTTAGGCTTAAGCTTAGGCTTAGGCTTAGGTTAGGCTTAGGCCTAGGCTTAGGCTTAGGCTTAGGCTGAGGCTTAGGCTTAGGCTTAGGCTTAGGCTTAGGCAAACGCTTAGGCTAGGCGTAAGCTTAAGCTTTATGAAACCAACAGCAATCAAGTACGCTTCGACTCGTGTTTTTCCTCGCGTAGCGCCAGCAGCCCATCTGGCCGGCTGGCTGGCCTTCATTGAGCAACGGCCTGAAGCAGAACGACACGTAGTCGGGCTCGCCCGGAACTTGCGGGCAAGCTGAAAACGCAGGGTTCGGCTTGGGCATGGGCTTACACCATGCCTAGCTTGGTCTTAGACTCTGGCTTAGGCTTCGCTTAGGCTTAAGCTTAGCTTCCTTAACCCACCGTACGTCACCCAGGTGACGTTGTAGGTCTTGTAGTTGAGCTCCTCCTCGAAGGCGATGCCCCAGTCAGGGTCTGCTTGGGTGCGCGTCAGCTGCTTGCAGCCGTGCACGGGATGGTAGGGTGGGCCGGTGACGTCGCAGGTGATGTACTGGAAAATTGTAATTAGAGAAAGAGAGAGAGACAGAGAGAGAGAGAGAGAGAGAGAGAGAAGAGAGAGAGAGAGAGCGAAAAAGAGAGAGACAGAGAAAAAACGAGAGATAGCCTAAAAGTAAGCAGCCCACGGCAAAATGGACGGCGCCGCGCGAAGCAACCCTGCGTGGATCGAGTCTGTTCTGAAATTTCAGGAACTGTACTGTTAGCGGGGGGGGTTAGCAGGAAAAAATCAGGTTAGTTACTGTCCAAAATACCGTACCTGATCGGGGAAGTAGTGCCTGTAGAGTGCGTTGAACCGCACGTTGAACGCACGCAATTCCATCGGCCGCTGGGGCCAATACTTCCCTGCTTCTTGCTCAGTTAGGTCAAAGCCGTCGACTGGAAAAATGCATCTCTACAGGGTGTCCCAAAAAAACCCCCCCTCTGGAGGCCGTCAATCGGATCGGATCGGAATGATTTTTATACCAATCGAAAGCTCTCGGAAAGGCGAGAAAACAAGCGGGTTTCGTTTTCTAAGATTTAATCTGATTGTATCGATATTTCAGGTTTTCCTAAAAAGCCAAGAATTTTTTATCAGGAATTTCGCAATTAGCATGCAGATCTCGCATAAATCAGCAGTTTTCATGGTTTTTGGACATAAAATTAGCAAATAAAAAGGCTTAATTAAGAAATTCATCCCTCCTTGTTTTCTCGCCTTTTCGAGAGCTTTCGATAGATACCTAAATCGTAAAAATCGGAATCGACTGCGGACCGCTAGGTAGGGGGGGTTTTTTTTTGGGACACCCTGTATAAGTTTATCTCTCTCTCTCGCTCTCTCTATTTAGCTTTCTCTCTCACGCTCTCTCTCGCTTTCTCTCTCGCTCTCTCTTTCTCTCTCTCACGCTCTCTCTCTCTATTTCGCTTTCTCTCTCACGCTCTCTCTCGCTTTCTCTCTCGCTCTCTCTCTATTTCGCTTTCTCTCTCTCTCTCTCTCTCTCTCTCTCTCTCTTTCTCGCTCTCTCTCGAAACGCTAGCAAAACAAACCGCAAACATGCTTGCCGTCTTCGGGATTCTCCTTCCACGCGTAGCGCCAGCAGCCCGGCTCGATGGGCACGACGAAGTTGAACCTGCGCGACCGTCGCCACCGGCAGTAGTGCACATACTCGCTTGGATTCTGCGGGCATGCTGGAATAGCAGTTGAGCAGAAGTGAGCCTAACGATAGAAAGGCCCAAGCCTAAGCCGAAGGTTAGAGTGCAGCATACCCCCCGCCGGCACCCAAATTTTATGTCTCGGCTTACTGTTCATCTACAGGTATGTGAACTATACGAAAATGTTCGTCTTGCTCTGGCGAGTATTTTGGTATACTTTACACACCTGTAGATGAACATGGAGCCGAGATACGGTAAGTGGGGGTCGGCGGGGGAGAGAGGGAACTGCACGTAAGCCAAGCCTAAGCCCAAGCCCAAGCCTAAGCCAACCCAAGCCTAAGCCTAAGCCAACCCAAGCCTAAGCCTAAGCCAACCCAAGCCCAAGCCTAAGCCAACCCAAGCCCAAGCCTAAGCCAACCCAAGCCTAAGCCTAAGCCTAAACCTACGCCTAACCTAAGCTTAGCCTAACCCGAATCCTAAGCCTAAAACTGAGACGACCTATAAGCTTACAAGGGAACCTCAAGTTGGCACGGTGGAATTTCGAAAAACGCTCGCGGCTACCCCTAGGTTTTCGACGACGGCGATTCCAACGGTCTAGTCAGAATTTCCTAAATGGGCCTCTGGACAGAGATACAGCACTTCCGGAAAATGATGATTTACATCCGAAAAATTAGCATTAGCGATAGGTTTATGAGGCTCTCCCATCAGTATGGAATCACCAGTTGGATGGCCGAGTGGTAAGCTACTCGCTTGATAGAATACTGACGAGGGTTCGAATCCGCTCACGATTTTTTATTTTGTTTTTTGACCGGAACTTTCTGCCCAACACCAAGTTTTGGTTACTTTTTTTCGAAAATACGTCCTCTTTCTAAAACTTCTAAAAGCATCCAAGTAAATCATAGGGGCTTCTCTGTAAAAAATGGAATATGGGTAGACCCAACTTTTTTGAATTTCGAGAACGAGTTTTCAGGATTCTTGGGAGTATGAGTCTGGGGCCATGACCAAAAATTTTTCTTATAGTAAAAATCAAAACTTGGAGTTAGCCGATAAGCTCGAAATTTGTCCCCTCACGTCGACTAGGTCTAGACAGTACGCAACATCCCAAATGACGCTTGCAAAACCGACATTTAAGCGTATTTTAGGATTGGCGCGTAACTGTCTAGACCCAGTCGAAGGCTGAGGTCGAATATTTTGCTTCTAAAATAACCCGATTTCAGAAATTATAGCGTTTTTAAGTGCATCTTTCCAGACTTCAATGGTGATTATTTTGTTCTTCTTGCCCTGTTGTTCGAAAAGTAGAGGACGGCTTTTAGCACGAACCATATACGATCTCGTAGATAAAAGTGCCGAGGTCGACAATTTCTTTGAAGGCGACGCCCGGGTCTTTGTCGACGATCTCGCGCGTCACCTCCGTGCATCCCTGCGAATGGCTCCACGGCTCGGCCGTCAAATCGCAGATGAGCTTCTGAAAAATTTGAAAGGTGCTTTCGCATTATCGGGGGGAGGCGCAACAATTTTTTATTAATTTAGAAATTCCTAGGGTAAGGGTCTCGAAACCCCCCCCAGCCGGCACCCAACTTTTGTATCTCGGCTCCCTGTTCATCTACAGGTGTGTAAAGTATACCAAAATACTCGCCAGAGCAAGACGAACATTTTGGTATACTTTACACATTTGTAGATCAACAGGGAGCCGAGATACGGTAAGTGGGGGCCGGTACTGCATTTCAGCCAACTCAATTCTAAGAAAAAAAGTAGTTTCCGTCCCACTGCCCCCCGATAATGCGAAAGAACCGTCCCGTTTGCATTACATACCGCTCTTTTCGGTTCATCAGCTTTCAAGTTGCCCGCAAAAAGCAGAAGCGGCAGTAGCAGCAGCTTCATTTCAGCTGGCGATCGCCAGATCGGGCCGCGCAACAATGGTGCCTGATTTTGCGTTTTCTACGATTGGGACATTCAAGGAAAATATGCTAATTGTCCCCCATAATAACCGGACAACCAAAATATGACAGCTTCACCCTCGAGGCCAGAATACCGACAGCGGGACCATATCGATTTTTTTTTCGAAAACTCGCTTCAGCCAGTCAAGCTCGTCAGAATTTCGCCCTGGACTCATTGGAACCAGCTTGAAACGCTGATTCCAATGTGCTAACTGGCATAGCTGCAAAATCTAGTTTGTGATTTTACGATTTTTTGAAGTTTCACCTAGACACCCGGCAGGCCCGATCGGCTGTGCCTTCCTAGGCTGATTCCGCGAGAAATCAGCTTTGCGAAATCGTTCTGAATGCTGCATCTGAAAGAGCATGAGAAATAGTGCCGGAAAAATTTTCTTACGAAACCTGGAAGGGGCTGGTGTAGGCGCTAGGATTCCTAGATAAGTTTAAGTTTCGTGTTTTCCTTGGTTAGGCTGATTCCCTGGATTCCCAACCCGATTAATCCATGATTCCCGAAGCCTTGGCGCTGATCTTTTGCTAAAGGGTGCCCCATTCCGCGAGTGGACTATAAACAAAAATCAGGGGTTTATTATTTTCGGTAGTTCACACGGTGTGCCTCCCCCAGTTCGGCCAATTTGCGCATGATCTTTGGGGAAAACTGGGGGGGGGCTGGAAAATGGATCAAGACATGGATGCTCGGGACATGGATATCTCTCCCTCTCTCTCACTCTCTCTCTCGCTCTCTCTCACTCAGCAACCCCGGTTTAGCCAACAACCGGACGTCACCCCCAACATTCTTGTTTTTTTGTTTTCTCTCTGCATCTCGGCGCTCTCTCACTCTCTCGCCCTGTTGCTCCATATAAAGGATAGGATAACAGTTGTACCATCAGCAGACTATACCATCGAAGTATCCTTGGAAAAGACTGAATTTTAAAGCTAGATATCTCACTATCCCTCGCTGTCTCTCTCTCTCTCTCTCTCTCTCTATCTCTCTTTTCCTATTCTTTTTTCCATTAATTCTTTTCAGATGAACACCACATACATTTTTGCCTTCCTGTTCCTGGCCATCCTGCTAATTTCTGCAGATGCTGGCGGTGCGGAGCGGGAGAGACAGTAAGCCTAAGCTAAGCTAAGTCTAAGCTCAAACAAGCCTAGGCGGGCTTCGGCTCATGCTGAAGCTTCCGCCTAAGCTTGGGCCGAATCCTAAACCCATCGGCTTACCTTATAAGCTCGAAATTCGATTCCTCCTGTCGACGAGACCTAGACAGTACTCGGCACTCAAAAAAGACGCTCGCAAGGCGATATTTATGCGTATTTTGGAGTAACTGTCGAGACCTAGTTGTGGGCTGGGGTTGAATACTTTGCTTCCCAGTACCTTTAATCCAGAGCTCAAGTCAGGATCCATCGAAAATTTGTTTTATGTTTTTTTTTCAGTGAGGGCACCGTGCGCGTGAAGCGACAGTGGGGACGAGGATTCGGGTGAGTACCATATATTGTTAAACCTTGTTTATTTTTTATGATTTTTGTCTATCGAAAAAACGTCTCAAATGATGTAAAGATGGAATGTGTTTTGCCATAGGGCCGTACGAAATTATCGGGCAAAATCGATCTCCCCCGCTAAGGGTCAAGTACCTCGGAAGCTGGTCGGAATCTTGCAAACAAATCGGAAGAAAATCGACCAAAACCTGCCTTCCCGGTCCCTTTAAAACGAGATTTTCAGACGCGGCGGCTTCGGCAGGGGCGGTTTTGGAAGGGGCGGGTTCGGACGCGGTGGATTCGGACGTGGCGGCTTTGGAAGGGGCGGATTCGGCCGAGGCGGATTCGGAAGGGGCGGTTTCGGACGCGGAGGCTTCGGACGAGGAGGATTCGGACGAGGAGGATTCGGCAGATGGGGCTAACTCCTTTACTTCTGAATCCAAATTTGCTGTACATAAAAATTTTACACAATTTGTACGCCAGAAGACAACGATAGAAAGAGAGAGAGAGAGAGAGAGAGGTGAGAGAGAAACAGGGACAGACAGACAAACACAACGCGCATTTCCAACGAATTTATCACCAAAAAACAAGGAAAATTGGGTACGGTAGTAAATGCTTTGGCGAGAATCACTTTGAGCAAAAGCAATAAGCATCAAAAAGTGGCTTTAAGGGTTTAGGAAGCGCCAGAATCGACCCCTTCCATCCACGAGGTCTCGACAGAGCGTAAACTTGTTGGAATCAGACGGAGCCTCGCGTAGCTATCGAGACCTAAGCCTAAGCCCAAGCCTACGCCTAAGCCTAAGCCAAGGAATCCCAATGAAGCCTAGGCCCAGGCCTAAGCCTAAGCTTAAGGGATCTCTTAAAACAGGCATAAGACAGAAAGCAGCAAAAAAAATAAATGTTGAATCTCAGTGTCTCTGTAGAGACGTGAAAGCCGTGGCTGTGACTGGAGTTTTGGAAATGCAAACTAGCGAATAAAAAATCTGAAGAAATCACAGGTATGGTTGGAAAGCGCAGAATAGATCTTAGAAACGAATAATCAAATTTTTTTGAATTTTTGAGATCAAAGAGTGTGGGTTGGGTCGTCGCGCCTAGCATTTGCGATGGCGACTTGCAGGCACTGGAGCCATTCCTCGGCCTTGCGCTCGTCGGTGGCCTGAAAAGCAGTATCTAGAGATCTCTGCTAGCCTGCCCTTTCCTAAAGAATTTCTGCTAGCCTGCCTTTTCCTAAGGAATCTCTGCTAGCCTGCCCTTTCCTAAAGAATCTCTGCTAGCCTGCCCTTATTCTGTAGCCACTTACCTTTAATACGTAGCTCTTATTCTCCTGCGTACAGATCTCAAAGGCTTTCCGCAAGCTTTTCCGCTTCTTGTTTCCTCGAGACAAGCTTCGGACGACCCGAATTGTCCTCAAATCGATGGAGGGAGATTCGAAGTGGTTCTGAAAACGTTTTCTCTTACTCGCTCTCTCTCTCGCTCCCTCTCTCTTTCACTCGCTCTCTCTCCCTCCCGCTCTTTCTCAACTCACATTTTGTCGCACCACCTCCCCACTCGACGGCATCCCAGTCGTATAAGTCAGCGAAGCCGTGCTGAGCGTGAAAAACTTGGTATGCCATCGCCGCAAAAATTTCCAGCGCCCCCGCTTCTCCTTCAGCTCCCCGCACAACATCTTCTCCTCCACGAAGGTGCTGTAAAAAAGGTTTATCTATTTCCTCTCTCTCTCTCTCTCTCTCTCTCTCTCTCTCTCTCTCTCTTCTCTCTCTCTCTCTCTTTCTCGCTCTCACTCTCTCTCTCTCTCTCTCTCTCTATCTAAGATAACCTACCGTACTCGATCCGGATGCGCGCAGCTTAAACATGCCCATTTTGAGGTGACAGCGTCGAGCTGGAAAAATTCCCACAACGCATTCTCGTCGAGCTCTCGCGCAAGCTTTTCTTGTTCCTGAAAGGTTTAGATTTTCTTTCCCACGTCACCATTTTCCGCAAAGAAACTCGGCTAGCCCGCCCTTTCCTGAAGAAGCTCTGCTAGCCTACCCTTCCTAAAGAATCTCTGCTAGCCTACCCTTCCTAAAGAATCTCTGCCAGCCTACCCTTCCTAAAGAACCTCTGCTAGCCTGCCCTTTCCTAAAGAATCTGTGCTAGCCTGCCCTTTCCTAAAGAATCTGTGCTAGCCTGCCCTTTCCTAAAGAATCTGTGCTAGCCTGCCCTTTCCTAAAGAATCTGTGCTAGCCTGCCCTTTCCTAAAGAATCTCTGCTAGCTTGCCCGCATCACCTACCTTTTGTGGCGGAAATGCACTGGTGACTAGGGTGACGAAGGGTCTTCCCTTCGTCACAGAAGACGGGAGACATGACCAACAATTCGCGAGGGTACGGTAGGCTCCTGATGACTGGCACAGGACTTGGCCGGTTTGTGTGAGAGAGGATGACTCCATCTGAAAGCAGGATTACGCTTAGGCTTAGGCTTAGGCTTAGTCTGAGACTACCTGCAAAAACATCAGATGAAGCCACAGCGAAGGCGATTTGGTCTTCATCCCGTAAAGATTGTCGGCGTGGAAAATACAGTAGGTCGATCGGACTTGGCAGGAGAAGTGGATACGCATACGGTGTTTTCCTGAAAACGTAGATAGAGCGAGAGAGAGAGAGAGAGAGAGTGAGAGAGAGAAAGATACGCAGGCCACAAAAAAAATCACCTTTCCCTCCCTCTACCGTACACTGCACCGGGATCGGCATTCGCGAAGAAACCTCCTCCACGTAACGTCTAAAAAAATACGGATTTTCGATTGCTTTTAGGCTTAGGCGTAGGCTTAGTCAACCTACCGTATCTTGCTGCGCCGGTGGTCGACGAACTGCCGTACAACATCGCCACGATCGATGGATTTCTGAAAAAAGCAACTGTAATCTGGAAGCTTAGCCGATTACGGTACGGCGTAATTGTCAAAACGTTTAGAAGCCGGTGCAGTACGATTACAGTGATTTAAAAATATCAAAAAGTTCGCAAAACGCCACCTACCGTATCCTGCCAGGGCTCGGCCGGCTCTTCCGAAATCATCTCTTCTTCAATAACTTTAGGAAACTGGAAAATGGAACTTATAGCGACAGGGTGAGACACCTACCGTACACGTCGTTATCGGCACCGTGGAGGTGACCGGGAAAGTTGTTTCGATTGGGGCGAGTTGAGAACGTTTGTAGCCGACCGGCCGGACACGACCGTCGCGGCACATCTGAAATTCCAGAGTTGAAGAGAGAGAGAGAGAGAGAGAGAGAGAGAGAGAGAGAGGGGGGGGGGGGGGGGGGGGGGGGGGGGGGGGGGGGGGGAGGAGGAGAGCAAAGGAACCAGATTACCATTCTCCACAACCCACCTGAATTTGCGTTGGGGCGAACGTCGTCGGCAGGGTCTGGGCTTTGTTCTGCTGCGTAGCCTGCGAGGGCGGAGGCTTCCGCTTTAGCGACGAGTAATCGGGAGGTCTGAACCCCGTTCAGCGGTTGTCTAAGCCTAATTTACCTCGTTGACGGTCCCGGGATGCTGGCCATCGACAGATCGCGGGAGTTGTACGCCGTCTCCGAGGCGGAATTTTGACTAAAATGACTCTTTTAAGGGTCCAAAATATCAAAAATATAAATAAATATAAATAACTATAAAACTACCGTACCTCTGCCCTGCCGTCACGCTCACATAGCTGCGAGACTTGTACTTCGACAGGCTCGAGTTGCTGCGATTTTGGTAGACTTGGGCGAGGCTCTGGAAAAGAGGCTCTTGATGCTTGTTTTCTGGGGTTTTCTGAGAAGGGCAGGCTAGCAGAGTTTTTTTGAGGGCTTCTGAAGAATCCAGAAAAAAAATACCTCGGTATTCCGGTCCAGTTCATCTACAGTTTGGGTGGTCGAGCTCTCGCCTCCGGTGTAGCGGCTACGACTGAAATGAAAATTCCCTCTCTCCCTCTGTCTCTCTCTGTCTCTCTCTCTCGCTCTCTCTCTCGCTCTCTCTCTCTCTCGCTCTTACTCTCTCGCCATCTCTCTCTCTCGCTCTCTCTCGCTCTCTCTCGCTCTCTCTCTCTCCTACCTCCCCAACGTTGAGCTATCATATCGACTCCGATCCTTCCGCGACAGCAGCGAGTCCGACGAGTTGTCATTCCGAATCGGGATTACGGTAATTTTATCGGCCCTGCACATCAATTTTTTAGGTTGAAAAAGCCCATTGAAGTCACCTGGGAGCGTTGGCCATTTCCAGCAATCTACTGCACAGCGATCTAACGCTTGGGGACGTCTTGGCGATGCTCTCGATTCGAGCCCCGTACGGTCGTAGGGAATCCGGGGATACGGTAGCCAGGGCTGGAAATAGGACTTGAATAGATGAGGTTCTCTGTCGTTTGCTCTCTCTCTCGCTCGCTCTCTCTCTCTCTCTCTCTCTCTCTCTCTCTCGCGCTTACCCTCAATTTCCGATAGTACCGTAGCTACCGTAGGTGCTTGCACTTTTTTGGCGATCGCAAGGAGAGCTTCAAGTGATAAGCTAAGGGAAGAAGTTGAAGATCTTCCAATCATCGCGATAGCCTAGAGAAATGGTATTATACGGCAACTTAGGCTTAGGCCTAGGCTTAGGCTTAGGCCCAAGCTTCGGTTTAGGCTTGACCCCGGCTTAAGCTTAGCTTAGGCTTAGGCTTAGGCTTAGGCTAAGGCTTAGGCTTAGGCTTAGGATTAGGCTTAGGTTTGGGCTTAGGATACCCTTACATTGACAATCGCCGGAACATGGCACTTCAGCGCCGGATCCTCGGTGGCTTCTTCCAGGCTGAGGATGGTCTCGGTGAGCAGCTGTAATGTAGCGCTAACGAGAGAAAGAGCGAGAGAGATAGATAGATAGAGAGATAGAGAGAGAAACTCACATGAGCTTTCCCCTGGGCGCACAGCGGCTGGTAGATGTGCAGCACGGGCAAGCAGGTCGCGGGTTTGTTCAGGAACTGGGTGAGTCGGGGGAGGTAGGGAATGAGGAGCTAAAATGGCTTTTTATGTGTTTGCCGTTCCTAAAGAGTAGCTGCTAGCCTGCCCTTTCCTAAAAAATCTCTGCTATCCCGCCCCTTACCTCGGCATTACTCGCAGCTACTCTGGACGCAAATTGCAGCAGTGATCTCTTGTCCTCGAGGGCTACGTTTTGGTCCAAAAGACGCATCAGCTGGGGTAGATGGGCGTGGAGAGCTTCTTTATTTTCGGCGTAGATTTGGGGGAGCACTTTTAAGAGGGCGTGTTTACCTGAAACAAATGCCTTTTCTCTCTGTTTCTCTCCAGCTCTCTCTCTCACTCTCGCTCTTTCTCTCTCTCTCTCTCTCTCTCTCTCTCGCTCTCTCTCTCCATCTCTCTCTCTCCCTTACCTCCAACGATATGCCCAGCGATTTGTATGGCGTATTGCGCCAACACTCTCTCGCAATGCACCGCCGACAACGAAATATACGAAATGACGTTCCGGCTTAGATCCGCGTTGTTCGAGCTCAGGGCCTAAAATTCGAAGTTTTCTACGGTTGTTGTAATCTGTACTTACCCTTAATGCGACAGGAATCGCCAGCGTCATCACCGGTTTCTTGGAGTAGTACTAAAACAGTGTTTGTCTTTCTTTGGCAAAGAATCTCTGCTAGCATCCCCTTCCTAAAGAATCTCTGCTAGCCTGCCCTTTCCTAAAGAATCTCTGCTAGTCTGCCCTTTCCTAAAAAATATCTGCTAGTATGTTTCTCAAAATTTCTAAACAATCTTTGCTAGCTTGCCTTTCAAAATTCCTCAAAAAATCTCTGCCAGCTTACCATAAACAGGCTCGACAAAATCTCCACGGCCACTTTGCAGTGAGCCGAGTCGCAGTAAGTTTCGTTGCCATGCGAAGATATCTTCTCGGTGGACCTAAAAATGACGAAAATTTCCCAAGGAATCTCTGCTAGCTGACCTGATCGACATAGGATACTGTAAGCAGCAGTCCAGTAGGTCGACCAACTGCGCACAATACGTCTCGATCGAGCTGGTCTCCCTGAAATATGCTCCCTTCCGGTCATTTTCCTAAAGAATTTCTGCTAGGCTGCCCCTTCCTAAAGAATCTCTGCTAGCCTTTTCGAATCCAAATTTTCATGCATCTCTTTCGGCGTTTAGTAATTGTATCTATACGTAGGCCACTTGCAGATAGATATTCTTTCTCTCTCTCACTCTCTCTCTCTCACTCTCTCTCTCTCTGTCTCTCCCTCTCTCGCCATATGTTTGTGCCTTGGGTCGGGTAGTATTATTTGTGCATAATAAGACAGTGAGGACAACGAGAGGCTCCTCTAGACAAACATTAGCTATCTAGCTACTAGCTCCTTGTTTGGCCGGCGGACTTTCGAATTTTAAAGGGCTATTGAAGAGAGCAAATTTGAGAGAAACACAGAGAGAGAGAGAGAGAGAAAGTGAGAAAATCATGTGAAACTCACCGTATCGCATTCAGAATCCGTGCCAAGACCAGCTCAACCACGCTCTGGTCCTCCTTCCTCGAGCCATAACCCCGCTCGTGCAAAATCTCCTTGATCAGCCCGAAGACGGTGTGCTGAATGAAGGCAAGCGTGCGCGTTTCTCCAAGATTCTCTGCTAGCCTGATCCCTATCATGATGCAATGATCTTTTTTTGGCTCTTTTCGTTCGAAACCATAATTTTTCTTCCCTAAGTACCGCTGCTAGCCTGCCTAGACCCTATTCTGCCGATTTTTAAGGGCTCCCATAAATTTGTTTGCCTTGAAAATCGAACCCCTGGCCGTGTTTGGTGCTGATTCAGCGGTCGGCAAAGTCGCGAAAATGACTTTCGCCAAACATGGAAATTTCGATTCGAAACTATTATGCCTTTTGGGCAAAGCGTTCTTTTTAAAGAAAAATTTTGGCGCTTCCCAGTCCCTTTAAAAATAGCCACCCACCAGATCCGAGATCACATCGTAGTCGGAGAGGGCGAAGAGCTGGGAGGAGGACTGAAAACAGTTTTTTTTATTTTTTTTTTTGCTTTTTCAGGATTCCAACATAATTTCTATGTTGATTCCAGCATTCCTGGTGCCTTTAACATGCCTAGATTTGCCCTTTAGTGACCCGAATCCCGGCTGCGTTCCTTATCAAAGTTATGCTTCTTGCACCCGACTGGGTAGACGCATCGGTGTACCGAGGCTACAAACTACAACAATGGCAAATTTACTGAAAGAATACCAAAAAATATTATGAGATTTGTCAGATGAATAAAATCGTAAAAAAAGGAAGAATGATATTTTTACGCGCAAAACCTTCAAATTTTACCTGGAGGTGCTTGTGCCGGAGGACCCGCTCGATCACTGCGTGCATTCAATGGCCCGGGGAGGGGGCTGCTTCTGAATTCAAGATTTTGAGAACAAGAGAGAGAGAGAGAGAGAGAGAGAGAGAGAGAGAGTGTGAGTGAGAGTTAGAGAGAGCGAGAGTGAGAGCGAGAGCGAGCGCGCGAGAGAAGATAGAGCGCGAGATAGGGGAAAGAGACAGCGAGAGAGAGCGAGAGAGAGTGAGAAAAAGAAAGAACGAGGGAAGGTAGATGGCTCCGCAATGATCGCTGCCAGCTTCCCTTTGTTAGATTTTCGTCAAAAATCAGGGATTAAATCAGGAATCGGGAATATGGGATTCACGATAGGAGCTTCTTAGAAGATCTCTGCTAGCCTGCCCTTTCATAAACAATCTCTGCTAGCCTGCCCTTTCATAAACAATCTCTGCTAGACTGCCCTTTCCTAAAGAATCTCTGCTAGCTTGCCCCAGATCCGGAAGTACCCTCGAATCAAGCGAGATCAGAATCCGATTGGGGCACAGAATAGGGTGCAAGACTGACCGGCCATAAGGGGTTTGAGGGATGGGCGGCGAGAGAGTATATTTGCTGAGAGAGCGCAGACAGCAGAGACGCATTCCGAGACTCTCGCCTGACAAAGAAAGGAAGAGAAGAAGGGAAGGAAGGACCCCATTCATCGATCCGAATCGGGGGCGAAGGCCTGCGACGAATACTGAATATTGAAAATGGCATTTACGGACCCTAGAACTACAGTTAAATGCGTAAAATTTATGTCTCAAAAATTACAGAATGAGGCAAAGATGATTTGGGAATAGAAGGAGCAAGCTAGCAGAGATCATTTGGGAATGGAAATCAAACTTGCAACGCTAGAGAAAATTTTCTGAATGTTAAACATGAAAATACATCCCTAGAACTATGATGCATGAAAATTCATGTCTATAAAAGGGGTTTGGGCAGGCTAGCAGAGATCATTCGGGAAAGAACAAAGGTAAAATTAAGTTGAAAAATAAATGGGCAGGGCAGGCTAGCAGAGAACCTTGGAGAAGGAAAGCGTCCAAAAGCGGGGAGCCTAGCAGAGATTCTTTAGGAAAGGGCAGGCTAGCAGAGATTCTTTAGGAAAGGGCAGGCTGGCAAAGTTTTTTTAGAAAAGAGCCAGCTAGTAGGGTTCCTTTAAAAGAAATAAAGTTGGCAGTCGATAGGTTGTAAACCTGAGAAAGATGGTGTAGTGAGGTCTTATGAGTTGTATGCAAATGGGGGCGACCTTGAGATGAGGACGGGGAATCTCGGGCGCTCGAGGAGGGCGAGAGAGAGAGAGAGAGCGAGAGTGAGAGAGCGAGAGAGACTACGTGAGCGAGAGGTATTATGAGTCACAGATTTGTCAGCATATTCTAGTCCCTAACTACCGTAACAAGTGAATACCGTAGTTTGTCGATAGTCGGATTGGCCAGCATCGCTAATCGCAAGGGATCATTGCAAGCTTCCCATAGCGGAATCGAAAAATTTCTCCGCTACCTTGCTCGAATGGAATCCTAGAGAATCTCTACTGGTATACATTTGCCGGAAATCCGCAAGAGTCGCTGCTAGCATCCCTTCACGAAAAAACCAAGAAAAACCGGAGTAGCGCAGCGTAGTGTCGCTTGCAAAGCAACGTAACCTATCAGATTCCGTCGCAGTCGTCAGTATTGTATCATTGCCTATGTCCTAACGTACATTGTATCGTAGCGTATCGTGGCGAGCGTAGCGTATCATACCGTATCTAAAAATGCATGTATCGAAGCGTATCATGGCGTATCCTGGCGTATCGTAGTGTATCGTGGCATAACGTCAAATACCGTAATGTAGCTCATCATAGTGTCAGGCAACGTATCCTAGCGTATCCTAGCGTAGCGTAGCATGAAGTAGCGTATCGTAGCATAGCATAACCTAGCTTTTCCTAACCGACCCTAGGGCGTCGTGACGTACGCTATCGGTGGCCAAATGCCTACAGTACTGGACCGCAGTAAATCGTACTCAGACCGGAAATAGGTGTCTTCCGGAAAAATGAGCTGTGCAAGCTGCAAAAAGATGCTTCAAGCTGCCGGCATTTCCGGGGGAATTTCCGGAAATCGCGAGATTTCGGCGAAAGAGGCAACGCGAGAACAGAGTATCGGAGTGCGGATCTGGCATGATAAATGGTGGGTGGAAAAGAAGGGGGGTCTGTGAGTCTGTAATGCCTTCAGGGGGAGAAGAGAGAGAGAGAGAGAGAGAGAGAGAGAGAGAGAGAGATCAGAAGAAAAGGCTGGGTTGTTCTGTTCCTCCTGCAACACCAAGGCCATCCACCCTCTTTCTAGCCGCCAGAGGGGGTTGCACCACAACTACGTCACGATACGCGCGAACGGCTAGCTAGGAGGACAGCGATTGGCATGGCATTTAAGGGAGAAAAAGCAAAGCACCTCTGCTAGCCTGCCCTTTCCTAAAGAATCTCTGCTAGCCTGCCCTTTCCTAAAGAATCTCTGCTAGCCTGCCCTTTCCTGAAGAATCTCTGCTAGCCTGCCCTTTCCTAAAGAATCTCTGCTAGCCTGCCCTTTCCTAAAGAATCTCTGCTAGCCTGCCCTTTCCTGAAGAATCTCTGCTAGCCTGCCCTTTCCTGAAGAATCTCTGCTAGCCTGATTAAGCCCATGAGGCCTGGCTAGCTTCCACAATAGTCTGCACTAACTGATATGGTCGAATCAATTGGCAAGCTGGCAGAGATTCCTTAGGAAGGAAAGGGCAGACTTGCAGAGATTCTTTCGGATGGGAAGGAGTATGCAAAATAACACGTAACCGCAGGGAATTCCTGCCAGCCGGGAACGCACCAGAGGAACGGGTATTTCGAGGGGGGATGCCGCGGGGGCATCTCTCTCTCGCTCTCTCGCTCTCTCTCTCTCGCGCTCTCTCTTTCTGACTTTATGTCTCTCTATCTCTCGCTCGCTCTTTTTCTCTTCTACGTCACGATCACAGTTCAACACAGCCGCTCGGGGCAGGGAAAGCGAGAAAACCACCTGGCCTTCTTTCATCTCATCGTGACTGTACGGTAGGGAATTTTTCTGTTCTCTCTCACTTTCTCTGTCGCTATCTATCTCTATATCGCGTTCTCTCGATCTCTCGCCAGACTTTGATATCCCTTTAAAGGCTGTACGCATCAAGGGCGTTGTTAATCTGGTAGACGAAAAGCACATTCCAAGGTTTTTGGCGTCTACGCCGGCTAGACTAGACGGGAGAGCGAGAGAGAGAGGGCGAGAGAAACAGAGAGAGATGGAGAGAAACAGAGAGAGAGAGAGAGAGAGAGAGAGAGAAAGAGAGAGCGAGCGAGAGAGAAAGATAGAGAGAGCGAATGATAGAGCGAGGAAGCAGCACCAACGGCAAAAGCTCTTTAAATATCGCATCTGCATTTCCGATACCCCCTATAACTGCCCTGATATTTTGATTTCTCACATTTCCCCAAAAACTCGATGGCCGCCGTCGTCGAGGTTTGAAAGCTTTTCCATTTTTTCATTGTTTTTTTTTCAGCTGCCGCCAGACGATGACGAGCGTAAATTGGATGCCTGCGGATTTGAAATCGAGATTTTTCAGCGCTTCTCCCTGACGAGGATGGCGAGCCAAAAATCGAGCTGCACCCGTGGCACTGTATCTTTGTCGTCGTGCGTTTTTGAAGCTAATAGGCTTGGGCTTAGGCTTAGGATTAAGCTTAGGCTTAGGCTTAGTCTTAGGCGCAGGATTGGGTTAGGCTTAGGCCTTGAACTCCAAAAAAAAACAATTTTTTTAGTTGTTCGGGCTGGTGGTGAGCGTGAGCATGATGTTCTTCGAGTTCATGCCCCGAGCCCGGGCGCTGAAAGTCGTCAATTGCTAGTAAGCCTTCCTGACCTGGCGTAGCGTATCGTAGCGCAACGTAGCTCAGTGTAGCCTATCATATCGTGGCGTACACCAAAGGAGCCCAGTGTAGCGTATCGTACTTGATCGTAGCCTATCCTAGCGCATCGTATCGTTGCGAAGTGTAGCGTAACGTATCACAAAGTTGTAAATCGCCAACCTATCGTATCCCCGATGCGTTATAGTCCGCCAAAATATCGTATTCCGTATGCTGCTACGCAATAGTCTTTCAAATGCTTGAAATCGCGCGAAGTTCCTCTACGCTACGCTACCGTATCCTCTCGTCTTCCAGTCGCGAGTACGGGCAGGCCTGCAATTGGTATCAATTCTGGCTGTCAGACTGGCTTGAGGTGGCCGCCGTCTGGACACATTTTTGCATCTTCCCGATGTTCTACGCGGTCACGTTGATGTAGGCAAGCTAGCGGAGATTCTTTAGGAAATGGCAGACTAGCAGAGGCGCCTTAGGAAACCTGTTTTTTTAGTGCGGGCATGATATCGTACACCTGCATCCCCCTGGGTTATCAGCTCTCTCGTGTCGTCCAGGTGCCCATCGTCGCCTTCTTCACGGAGGTCACAATGGTGGGGGCAGGCTAGCAGAGATTCCTTAGGACAATCGTTTTTTTCAGTTCTATCTGGGGTTCGAGTCGCTGTGCGAATTCATCGCGATGGCCGTCACCACGTCGCAGTTTGGCGGGAATTTGTATGACCGGTAGGAGCAGACTTATAGAGAATCTCTGCAAGTTTGCCCCTTCCTAAAGAATCTCTGCAAGTTTGCCCCTTCCTAAAGAATCTCTGCAAGTTTGCCCCTTCCTAAAGAATCTCTGCAAGTTTGCCCTTTCCTAAAGAATCTCTGCGAGTCTGCCCTTTCCTAAAGAATCTCTGCGAGTCTGCCCTTTCCTAAAGAATCTCTGCTAGCCTGCCCTTTCCTAAAGAATCTCTGCTAGCCTGCCCTTTCCTAAAGAATCTCTGCTAGCCTGCCCTTTCCTAAAGAATCTCTGCTAGCCTGCCCTTTCCCCAAAGAATCTCTGCTAGCCTGCCCTTTCCCCAAAGAATCTCTGCTAGCCTGCCCTTTCCTAAAGAATCTCTGCTAGCCTGCCCTTAAAGAATCTCTGCTAGCCTGCCCTTTCCAGAGAGCTCCACTCGACGTTCCGCTTCTGCTGGTACGGCTTCGCGACGCTGAACACCTTCCCGTCGTTCTACTTCGTGATCCGCTCCCTTCGCCGTGCCCGCCAGCTCGTCGCCGAATGACCGAAAAATGCCGACAAACCCCCAAAAATACCGACAAGCCGATTTTTTTAAATCATCAAATTCCATTTTCGCTTTTCCCTCTGGCATCTATCGATTGGTTTTTTCTGCCTTTTCCGTATGGCTACTGATTCCGCCTGGGTGCCTCGTATTTATTGCTGTTGTTTTGTGTTGTTTTCCGGCTATTCGATAAATGGTGAAAAGCTTTATGGTAAAACGCACACAAAAACGAGAGGCACGAGTTTGGGATTATTTACGCGGGTTTTTGCGGGCTTAAAGGAACTAGGAAGTCGGAAAATTATGCAAATTCGGCTTAGGCCGGAGGCCTAGGCTTAGGCTTAGGCTTAGGCTTAGGCTTTGGCTTAGGCTTAGGCTTAGGGCTTAGGGCTTAGGCTTAGGCTTAGGCTTAGGCTTAGGCTTAGGCTTAGGCTTAGGCTTAGGCTTAGGCTTAGGCTTAGGCTTAGGCTTAGGCTTAGGCTTAGGCGTAGGCTCAGGCTTAAGCTTAGGCTTAGGCTTAGGCTTAGGATTAGGCTTAGGCTTAATCAGCGCTTTTCATGCAAATTCCCAATTTTTGGTTCAAAATTTCCGCCTTGCATATCCCTTAAAAACCGCAAAAGTCAAGATATTAAAATTCATACAAAAAACGCAAATATACAACAAAATTTCGGTGAAAATTTCATATGCTAATCACGATGTGGGGAAACGCCGGAGAAGAAAAGCAATGACCATGATAAGTTGAGCATCATTCGACGAATTGTAATGAGGAGTACAACGGAAAATAAAAAAATGCGAGAGAGTGAGAGAGAGCGAGAGAAAGAGAGTGCGAGAGTGAGAGAGAGCGAATCTATTGATGTCGTCCGGCTCCTCCTCCGTATTCTGTAAACGATCCGATCGAGCTATTCCGCTTCTTCCTCTGCAGTAAACTCTCCTCCCCGGCCGGCATCATTCTCGACAGCCTACGCAACGATTCTCTGGACATGGACGGCTCGCGGATGACGCGGATGTTCATCTCGGACGGGATCCGGACGGGGCGCGACTGAAAATCGGCTTTAAGCGGGTTTATGTTATTTTACGCGACTGTACGCTTTGTGACGTTACAGTGTTCTGGAACATGTGCTTCGATACCTTCAAATACGCTACCGTACGCGTCACTGGGCGTCATTGGGCGCTGTTGTACCCTTGAATGCACTACCGTACGCTTGATTACGCCTCTGTACGCTACAGTACGTTATTGTACGCCTGAGTACGCGGCTGTACGTTGTTAGGATCGTGCGCTTGAGTACGCGTATGTACGCTAGATTGCCCTTCGATACACTCAGGTGCGGTACCGTCCGCTTGTTAACGCCTCCGTACCCTAGAATACGGTACGGTACGGTACGCCCGAGTAGGCCTCTGGACGTTCGATTATACTGTGATACGTTATGGTACGGTACCGCACGACTTTGTACGTTCGATTACGCCTCGATACGCTGTGGTACGTTGCCGTACGCCCGAGTACGCGACTGTACGTTCGATTACACTATCCTAGGCATAGATACGGTAGCGTACGCCCGAGTAGAAGTATGTACGTTTGAATACGCAATACTTTGCCAATAGTACTCACAGTGGCTGCTCAACGCCGGCTGTGTCCAAATTTGCATTGCGCAGTTTTTGACGATTTCGAGACGTTCGCCCCGTCCAGTGCTTGTACCATTCGACAATCTGGAATTTTTATAAAGATTTTCGAGCCATACTAACGTAGATTTTGTTAGTAAAGGGCAGGCTAGCAGAGATTCTTTAGGAAAGGGCAGGCTAGCAGAGATTCTTTAGGAAAGGGCAGGCTAGCAGAGTCTTTAGGAAAGGGCAGGCTAGCAGAGATTCTTTAGGAAAGGGCAGGCTAGCAGAGATTCTTTAGGAAAAAGCAGGCTAGCAAAGATTCTTTAGGAACGGGCAGGCTAGCAGAGATTCTTTAGGAAAGAGCAGGCTAGCAGAGATTGGTAGCTTCAAACGCCTACCTTCCCCAATATCGTCAACCGTAACCGGTAGCTGTCCTGCCTCGACTCGATACAGTACTCCCCGATCGACATTAATAGAGCGACGACGAGGCCGGTGATTAATACATAGAAAATGCCTAAAAAATGGAATTTTGGAGCGATCTGGTTACGGTAGCCTACCAAATACACTTTGCAGGGAGTGAGCTTTTTGCGCTTCGCCGACCGGGGCGCAGGAGGGGCCCTCTGGAATTGAAAGGTAATTTTGCATAAAATGATAGGCCCGATAGGTTTAAAAAGACAGGGACGGTTAAGTTAAATATATAGGCTTAGGCTCAGGCTTAGGCGTAGGCTTAAGCTTAGGCTTAGGCTTAGGCTAAGGCTCAGGCCTAGGCGTGGCTTCGGCTTTGGCCAGGCTTCGGCTTAGGCGAGGCTTCGGCTTCGTTTTAAGGGGACGACGGCACGCGGCTACAGTACTTTCCCCACCTCTCCGGTCGCGCCACCATTTGTTCTTCAAGGCTTCGAGGATCGTCTTTTCTTGTAGCTGCAATATCGTCCCGGACATGATATCCCGCAGCGGCGATCCCTTCGGCAACGCGATACCGTAGCCCTAAAATGTAATTTTTTGCGGATAAATAGCAATAAACATAGTTTCCTGACCAAACCCATTTCTACAGTACCCATGCCATATGAAAATTAGGGTGGCGACGATTTTAAAGGGATCTGGAAGGCAAAAGCCATGGAATCGCTGTGGATTTTGCCTTCCAATTCGCTTTAACGAAAAAAAATTAGCCAAAAATTAAGATTTTGCTGTCGTAATCGGTTACCCTTGTGTCTAGCCAACCACCGGAGACGCTCTAAAGGGACTGGGAAGTTTTAGAGAGAGAAAGAGAGACTGACAGAGAGAGAGAGAGAGAGAGAGAGAGAGAGAGCGAGATCGAGAGAGAGATCGAGAGAGAGAGAGACGTCGAGAGAAAAAGAGCGAGAGAGTGAACGCGAGCGATGATAGGGTGATAGGGAGAGAGGGAGAGAGGGAGAGAGGGAGAGAGGGAGAGAGTGAGAGAGGGAGAGAGGGAGAGAGGGAGAGACAGAGAGAGACAAAGAGAGAGAAAGAGAGAAAGAGAGATAGCGTAAGAGACAAAGAGAGATATTCACCTTCGAATCCAACAACCCGCCAATCCGCTGCAATTCGCAGTCCCTCTCCATGTAGTACTCGAGCATTGAAGATTCCATCATATACGCATAGTTACCAGCTTAAGAAAAATATTATGGCTTTCCTAAAGAATCTCTGCTAGCCCGCCCTTTCCTAGAGAGTCTCTGCTAGTCTACAAATCCCAAAAGAATGCGTCCGTACCTTTGACCCTGGCAATTCCTTCCCTGCTGCTGTTGACAAACACGGTGGGGGAGGAGGACTCCATTATTGACCACCTAGAAAAATTGAGTTTGGATTTTAAAGGCGCTAGAAAACACGAGAATCGACAAATCGACTAGATCCCGCCAGCTACGCGTCACTCCAAAAAACGCTGCAATAGACTCAAATTGTTCCCGTCTCCGGCTTTTAAAGGCTAAAAATGAGATAAATAGGCGTGTTGCAGCGCCGCGTATCTGTTAAGGCCTAATCGATCGAAGGGGTCGATTATCGTGCTTGATAGTATACATGGGTCGACGCTTGCATGCGCCGCATAAGCGTGGCTGGCCACGCTGTTCCGGAGCGTGGAGGACCACGCTTATGCGGTGCTTTATGCGTGCTTTTTCACGCGCGCGATTTAATTCCAGATGCAAATCAAAAATTTAAAGGACATATATTTATGATTTCGATTTGCAAAAATGAATTGCCGATACATAACTATCAGGGTCCTCTTTAAATTTTGATAAATAAACAAGATAGATCGTGATTCAACTTCTTGTTAGTTAAATTCTCGAAAACGGATCGATTTTTGCTTAGATGTCCCTCGGAAAATTTTGATTTTGCATTTTTAGAAGCTTTGCATAAGCGTTTCCGGAGCGTGGCGGGCCACGCTCATTTCGGCGTGGTTTATTAAGAGGCACGCGCGTCAGCGTGGCTCTCCACGCTCCGGAAGAGCGTGGCCGGCCGCGCATATGCGGCGCATGCAAGCGTCGACCCATGTATACTTGATAGACCCCTTTAAAACACCCACATTCGCTCGTAGATCGGAATTTTGCTCTCCCGGAAGAAGTCCATCGTACTTCCGCTCTAAAAGTGGATAATTAGGATTTCATTTCCGTCTAACTCTCTCTTTCTCTCTCACTCTCTCGCTCTCTCCTTCCCTCTCTATCTCTCGCGCTATCGCTCTCTCCTTCTCTCTCTCTCTCTCTCTCTCTCTCTCTCTCTCTATCTCTCGCCCTCTCTCTGCCTCTCTCTCTCTCTCTCTCGCTCTCACTCACCTTCAAGGTCCCGTATCGAATTTTGGTCTGACTGGCAAGATCCGCCGTACTCTCAATCGGGGTCGTCATCCTTTCAACCGTCAAAAACGCAGCCAGCTGGGCCGTGTAGGACGAGATGAGGATTTGGGTGAACATCCACCTGAAGTGGCAAATGGTCTCTGCTAGCTTGCCCTCAAATCTAGTGCCTGCTAGCCTGCCCTGTCCTAAAAACCTTTGCTAGCCTTTCCTTTCCTAAAGAATCTCTGCTAGCCTGCCCTTTCCTAAAGAATCTCTGCTAGCTTGTCCTAACTTACCAAATGACGGCGACAACTCGAGTAGCAGCAGCTCGCGGAATCACATCCGATCCTTGCTGCATCAACGACCCAACGGCGAACCATAGCGAATTCAGAATCGTGAATTGATTCTTCTGATTCTCGATCGACGGGTCACGCTCGTCAATCTTTTCGATGTCGTACCTAAACGAATTGTCAAGCTAATGTTTCGTTATTGGCCTCTGCTAGCTTGCCTCAGCAATAACCTTTCCCAAATGGTCGCTGCTAGCTCCCCCCCCCCCACTTACCATTCATACGGGCTGAACCGTGCGAGCAGGAACATCGTGAAGGACACGGAAAGGTAGGCTCCGATTAGGGAGACCCAGACGGTTAGGGAGAGCGGCTCCAGGAAGGTGAAGAGGGAACCTTTTGAAGAATCCTGAAGATTAATTTAGAGCAGGCAGGCTAGCAGAGATCCTTTAGGAAAGGGCAGACTAACAGAGATTTTTTGGAAAAGGGCAGGCTAGCAGAGATTTTTTGGAAAAGGGCAGGCTAGCAGAGAAAATTTACCTCTTGCGATCGAGCCAGCAAAATCGAGATTCCGAGATGCATGAAAGGGAGAGTGAAATCTGAAAAATTGAACAATTGGGGTTTATTTTCTGAATTCGGGTTTTTTGACCGTAACTCACTCACCTATCACCTCCACCCTACTGTAGGTGATCGTCACCGCCGAGACGGACAGATCGGCTTCATGTCGTTGTAGGACCCCGATGATTCCGTTCCAGCGTCCGGATTCGTCCTAGAAAATACGAATGTCTCTCGCCTCTCGATCTCTCTCACTCTCTCTCTCTCTCTCTCTCGCTCGCTTACCTCAATCCCGTAGCTTCCGTCGACCACCTCGATGATCGTGTAGTTGAATTTGAGTACCTAAAAAACTTAGATGAACTTGGAGAGAGAGACCGGGCGAGAGAAAGCGAGATATAAATGCTGACCCGCGCCATCTCGTTGAGCAAATCGATGCAGAACCCCTCGTACTGCCCCTGGGCGTTTTTCATCACGAACGGCTCTTCCTGAAATTGATTGATATTTGTAAAGAGCTTGCAATGCTGTTTTTTTTGCTGTCACGGCCCCCTTTAAACTTCTAATTCAATTTGTTCGAGCTTTTTTTGGATTTTTGCGCGTTTTCAGCTTTTCAAAAACACGACTTTTGGCTATGCTCTAAAAACCGGAACCCCTGCCAAATTCCACGTTTAAACGTGTTTTCCGAATCTGCCATTGTGCGTTGAACCCGGATTATTTCACGCAAAAAACCAGGCAGATAATTGGGCCGATGGGCCGGCAGCGTCCGGTTTTTATGGCCAGCAAAAAAACCGGTATTTTTCGGGGCGACCACGTTATATTTTGGGCACTTCATAGGGCGTGAGTCAGGGCCAGTGACTAGCTTTTTGAAGTCTTTTTGACAATTTGGCGTTACAAGTCGCATTTTAAAGGCGTTAGGAAGTAAAAATAGTGAACTACAAACTATAAACAGGGAAATCAGACCTTGTCTGTAAAATTCTGAGCATTTCCACTCGCCTCAAAACGGTCTTTTCAGGGCTCTGACAAGTCAAAAACATGATATTTTTCAAGGCGTATTAATCGAATAGCCTAAAAATATAAGGTGCTACTCAAAACTACAAACTACAGACTGAAAACTCCAAATAAGGTTCACCATGTAAACGACAACGCGCAAATGCAACCCGGCCAAGTCTTCCGCATCCGGATCGATGTCGAATTCCCAGCTGAAAAAGCGTGTTTGACCGGGTCGAAGACTTAGAGCACGAGCTCGAAAAAACTTACCGATTTGCATATCGGGAGTCGAACTGCCAGCCGTCCTCCTCGGACCAGTTGCCGAGCTGAAAAAAAATGATTTTACCGATTTTGTAATTTTCTGAATCCCTCTGCTAGCCTGCCCTTTCCTAAAGAATCTCTGCTAGCCTGCCCTTTCCTAAGGAATTTCTGCTAGCCTGCGCTTACCTAAAGAATCTCTGCTAGCCCGTCCTTTCCTAAAGAATCCCTGCCAGATTGCCCTGCACCAAAACCCAAATTTTCCGAGATTTGGAGGTTATCCAAGATCCTCAAAATCCACCATAACCTTCAGCTTGCTAGCTAAATTTCCAGTGTCTATTTTTCAAACTTTTTTCGCGAGTTCCAGTCGAACCCGGGTCGCCCCGGTGCGTAAACTATTTGGCGCCTGCAAATATGTGCCACACTAGGACCCGCGAAAAGACCCAAAGTCCCTGTCTGTGGGGGATACCCTGAGAAAATAGACCGAAAATTGGCAGGGCGAGAGCCAGAGAGAGCGAGAGAGAGAAAGAAAAAAAAAGAAAGGGAGAATGAGAGAACGATATTTTTTTTTCTAGCCCATTTAAACGACGTGTCTCTGGAATTTTGAAAATGTCGTTACTATATCTCTGTAGATTTTGGGAGTGAGCTAGCAGAGATTCTTGTAGAAACTGAAAACTTAAAACCTAGGAGACAGGCTAGCAGAGATTTTCAAGGAAATTAGACAAGTGTACTAAAATTTTGCCTTTCTCTGGATCTCTCTATCTCTCTCGCTCTCTCTATCTCGCTCTCGATCTATCTATCTTTCTCGCTCTCTCTCGCTCTCTCTCGCTCTCTCTCCCGCTCTCTCTCGCTCTCTCTCGCATTTTTGCTTTGCTACGGGGCTGCGAGCAGAGATCTTTTAGGAAAGTTCGCGTCCAGCAAGGGTCAGGCAAGCTAGCAAAGGCCTTCCAGAATTCTAGAGCGAAGCTAGCAAAGATTCTTAGGTAACTTGAGCTCACAAATTTAGGAAAACTGGTGGCAGGCTGGCAGAGATCTTTGGGGAAACCTTGCTACCCCTGACGCTTGAAATAGTGTCGTGCCCCAACTCCATTAGGCTTTGCAAACGTTCGAGCATCAAAAACACCCTATTTTTCGCCATTGAATACCTAGGTTTATTTTATGGGTGAGTGTACGCATTACTCCTGTAAACGGACTGCACAAACTCAGCGCGGGGGCTCGCTTTCACCTGGCGTTTGATCACCAAACTTCGACTATTTGCGCGTCCAAATTTTTTCGTCTATCTCTCCCCTCTCTCTCTCTCTCTCTCTCTCTCTCTCTCTCTCTCTCTCTTTCGCCTTCACAAAATGGGCGTGGCCTGGCCGTTCCGCCGGGGTACAAAAGCCGCCCAAATTCTAGGTACCCCACTATTCGACGGATTAGTGATTCAGAAAATGATTCGACAGGTTGGTTTTGAAATTTCCTAAAAAACCTCTGCTAGTTTACCTCGGTTTCATAATGCTTAAACAATCGCTGATAGTCTGCCTTAATTCGCAAGTTTCTTAAATGATCTCTGCTAGCTTTTCTCAGCCCGCAAAGCGCCTAGAAAACTTTCTGATAGCCTCATCTTTGCTAGCTCCTCGGTCCCCAAAATTCCCAATGAATCTTCGCTAGCCTGCCTTAAGCCCCTCTTTTTAGTGCGCCATTGCCCTCATCGCCCTCGTGGCCCTGAATGCCGTCACCGCCCAACAGCAACGAGGCCAGCAAGGCCAGGACCCGCCATTCCTCCAGGGGGTAAGTTTCTGTCACTCTCTCTTGCTCTCTCTCGCTCTCTCTCTCTCGCTCTCCCTCTCTCTGTCTTTCTCTACCTCTCTTTCTCGCGCTTCAAAACCACATTTAGGCCTCCGACTCCGTCAAGTCCAGCTTCCGGACCCTTTTCCAAAACTCGGAATCGATGACGGAGAAGCAGATGGACGACAAGGTCAATGCCTGGGTCGGCCAGCAGTCCCAGTCTATTCAGGTGAGTAAATTCCGGGATCTTTGCTATCCATCAGGCTTAGGCTTAGGCTTAGGCCTAGGCTTAGGCTTGGGTTGAGGCTTGGGTTGAGGCTACATTCCCAAATAATGTCTTCTAGCCTACCCGACACTTTTCAGTCAGCCTACAAGCAGTTCAAGCAGCAGATGGATCAGATGAAGGCCCAGGCCAAGCAGCAGCATCAGCAAGCCGTTCAGGGGCTTTCGGCTGCCGCCAAGAAAGCCGACCAGGACTTGACTCAGGTGGGCGTTTGCTTAGGCTTAGGCTTAGGCTTGAGCTTACGCTGAGACTTGGACTTTCGCTTCCGCTCATAGCATTTCCAAAAGAATCCCTGCTAGCCTGCCCTTTCCAGATCACCGACAACACCTCGCTGACGATGGCCGACAAGAACAAGCAGATCGGCGCCTACCTCCAGAACCTCCAGCGCACCAACCCCTCCGCCGCCCAAGAAATCCAGCGCGTCATGCAAATGGGCGGCCCTCCTCAGTAAGCACACTACGCGGTACACCAAAAGACGGGAATCGGATCTCCACAACGCATCGGAAAATATGCCCCCCACCATTTACAATGTATAAACGTGAAAATAAACTTTTCTTGCTACACCTTTTCTGAGATTTGCATCTGAATTAAAAACCGCTCTTGCGAGGATGCCGCGAATTACTAAAGAATCTCTGCTAGCCTGCTCTTTCCTAAAGAATTTCTGCTAGCCTGCCCTTTCCTAAAGAATCGCCTGTTAGCCTCCAGTCACCAACCTTCACAAAAGACGGATTGATCCTCCCCACTCCATAAAACCGCGTGTTTTTTCGCCGTCCATACGTGTCGAACGCCACTTCACCCGTCATTTGGTGCGGTTCATTGAGCTGAAAATAGGTTTAAAGGGAACATGATATCTGGAAAATACCTTCCGAATTGCCTCGTGCATTCGTTTCCCGTCTCTCCAACTGTCCCGTGCATCACAGAGTAATGAAGCTGGGCGGGGAGGGTAGCCGAGCTGAAATCGGCAGAGGCGAGTGAGAGAGAGAAAGAGAGATAGCAAGAAAGAAAGAGAGAGAGAGAGAGAGAGAGAGAGAGAGAGTGAGAGCGAGAGCGTGATAGAATGAGCGTACCTCTTGAAGCTTCGCAACCGCCGCTCCGATCGCCGATACTGTCTCGGTCGTAAGGGCCAACTCGGTCTCAAAAATTGCGTTGTTAGGCTTAGACTTAGGCTTAGGCTTAGGCTTAGGCTTAGGCTTGGGTTGAAGCTTAGGTTTAGGCTACCGTACCTTCATCATTGGGTCGTTCTTGACAAGCTGCAGCCCAGTGATATTACAATGGAACGGGCCAATGTTGTTGAGGAAGTCTTCGAGCAGGGAGAGGTCCTGGAACGGAAGTACCTGATTGAATTACGTCTTTCACGTCCCTTTAAAGGCACTTTAAAGGCACCAGGACACCCCCTACCGTATGCGTGAAGACGTAGCTGTACGGCTGCTCGGTCATGTTCATCCCTCTGGCCAACTGGATGAGGCTGTACAGGATGGTGATGTTATTCGAGTGGACCACCTGGGAGTACAGTAGTAAGTACGACAAGCTACTCTTGACTGCATACGGTACCGTACTGTTTTACAGTACGCGGTAGTACGGTAGACAACTAGGAAATCAATAAAACTTACGATATTCGTTTGCTTCAACTTGTTCCGGATGTATTTCAAGAACGGCTCGAACTCGTCGGTGCTCCGCGGCAACTTTTTCACCTGAAAAAAATATGCAAATTTAGTTTTAAAGGGACCGGGAAGTGGAAAAATCGGAATTTGTATAGTATTTTTCAATTTTTTAAATTTAACGCCATGTTTCCGATTTTCCGCACTTCCCGATCCCTCTAAAAAATCCGCTCCAAAAGCTACCGGCCACCCAGAGAAACTATAGAGGGGTTGTTTGGAACACGCATGCGAGGCGAGGCTGCAATTTTAAAGGTACGGGGCCAGGCAGGGGTTGTGGATTTTTGGCTATGGATTTTAAACGAATTTCAATGCACGGTTCTGGTCTGTTAGCGGGGGGGGGACTGATTTTTCGCAGGGGTGGGGAAACCACTTTTGTTTTTCTGCCTACCTTTATCATATCTAATGCATTTTTAAAGTCTTTTTAGCAGTTTTTAACTGCTAAAAAGTTACAAAAAATATTGTTTAATTTGAAAATGTCGACCTTTTCTGGCCATTTTTTAAATAATTTAACCAAAAAGTTTTTTTATTGTTTTATATCCAAAAACGATGTAAAATGCTATAAAAATGGTTCATATTTTGTTAGAGGGCTGTAGAGAACCATAGCGAAAAATCTGGTATCCTCCCGCTAACGGTCCAGAACCCAACGCGCCGCGACACGCAACGCGCTCGCCGTTCGCTCCCCACAGCGGCTTGCGCGTTGCGTTGCGTTGCGTGTCGCGGGCGCGGCGAAATCGGTAAGAAATCCATAACGAAAAATCGGGGACCATGCCTTGCCAATCCCTTTAAAACGCTTGTTAGGTCATGGAAGAAACGGCAAAGAAGAGTGTCGATCTACCCGATGGTTACCTTCACGTTTATCCGATGCACCGGCGGCTCGAATTCCTGATCGGATTTTGCTTTTTTAAAGATTTGTGGCAGGCTAGCAGAGATTCTTTGCGGAAACTAGCAAAAATATCTTGGGAATCCAGAACTGGGTCAGGCTAGCGGAGATTCATAGAGAAAAATAAGATGGCTAGCAGAGACTATTGGGGAAATTTCAATCCGTGGCGAGCTGGCAGAGATTTTTAGAGAAAACGAGTGCTGGGATCGGCTAGCAGAGATTCTTTCCGAATTGATATTCTGAATTTTCCCAGCTAAAATTCTAAAAAAATTGTTCGTCGTAGAGGGCAGGCTAGCAGAGATCATTGAGGAATTTTTGTATACCTTGACACTCGGCCGCATCGTCAGATGATCATCATCGTTCCGGTCGGTCATCAGCGGCGCGACTTCCTCGAGGTCTAAAAACCAATAAAATACAGAAAAATGGATCGAGTTTTTTCTTCCAAGTCTCTTTAAAAACTTAGAAATCCCAAAAATCGACTTTTCTCGCCAACTAGGTCTCGACAACTACGCAACGCTCCAAATCACACATGCTTCGATGTTTTCTTATTGTCCTTGAGAAGCTACGTTGGTCCGAAAACGAAAGAATGGTTCTGTCGAGACCTAGCCAAGGGGAAGGGTCGATTCCTTCATAATCCCTTTAAGAAGTGTACCGGAATCCGCCTGATATGCTAGCAGAAAGCTGTTCCACCGCAGGTTGTGGATGAACTCGCGGGTAGCTTGAGCGGCTAGGCCTCTAGAAATTGGAAACATGACTTGTTCTCTCTCTCGCTCTCTCTCTCTTTCGTTTTCTCTCGCTTCCGCTTCTTGTCTATTTAAGGCCTCTTCCCCTTACTAACCTCCTCGGTCCCAGCTGGGTCAGGAAATCGCTCACGGTTGTCGAAAGGCCGAAATTCGAGACGGCCACGCACGGGATCTGGAAATGAGGGTGTTTTTGGGGCATTCGGCTAGACTAGACTAAGAGCAGCTTGGGGGATGCTAGCAGAGATTCTTTAGGAAAGGGCAGGCTAGCAGAGATACTTCATGAAAGGGCAGGCTAGCAGAGATTCTTTGGAAAACACGTGTAGATGGTCAAAAATTCCCCAAGAATCTCTGCTAGCCTGCTCTTCCACTCACTACGCACCTGTAGATGATGACATAAACTGTGCAACATTGGCGAATCCAGCGCCGGCTCGCTGGGGGCTATCACCAGCGCGACGATCGAGTGCTGTACGACCTCGCATACTGAAAAATGCGGTAAAAGAGTGATATAAAATCTGAAGGTACTGGGAAGGAATAAGTTCCTCTACCCCGTTCTTCTATCGGCGTACGCGCCGAAGTCGGCGATGCAATTTGGAAGGCGACGTTCGTGTGGACGGCCTGCTCCCCGTTCCACCTCTCCACGGCATACCGAAGGTTTTCATAGGCGAGGCTGCCTTTTAGTGAGGTCGTACCTGAAAAAAAAAGATATTTTAGCCTGTCCTTTCCTAAAGAATCCCTGCTAGCCCGCTCCCTACCAATATTCAGCGTAACGGCCTGGGCCGCCGGTCCGAAGATGAGCAATAGACGGAGGCCGAGTGGCCATCTCCACATCCCTCGCGCATGCGCAGTCGGCCAGCCGGGCGGAGTTGGAGCGGAGTAAGTCTGGAAATTCATCGTTAGGAAAGGGACAGAGAGAGCGAGAGAGAGAGAGAGAGAGAGAGAGAGAGAGAGATAAAGACAGAGTCCAGCTTGGCTTCGGCTTAGGCTTAATTTAGACCAAAAATGACTTTTGAACGCGAAGTCCGCAGCAAATTTGGAAAACGGATTCGGAATCAGCAAAAAATTCTGAACAAGATAGGCTTGGCCCCATCCTAAAACGCCAGCCTGAGTAAAAACTCTTTACAGTTAGGCCCGGGTTTAGGTTTAGGCTTACGCTTAGGCTTAACTATACGCATTAATCTTTTGAGCAGAACCCGAAAGCTGGAACCCCTTTCCATCCCCCAGTTTTCGCTAAACGAAAAATTATTAAGAATGCGGAAATCGCGTGCCCGTCTGGCCGTGTGCTGCTCGAACGTCAATAGCTGCCTTTTTCAGGGGGATTTTGGGAATTTTCGAGGGATTTTTAAAAACTTTTCTGGAAGCTAGAGGTAATGCAACGTCTTCGGGAAGTTCAGAAAATTTCAGCGTGGCTGAGAATCAAGAGAAAAGCAAGGAAAACACCTCAGTGACGTCAAAACTAAAGCAAAAAAAAATCGAAAAATCTGCGAAAAGAAAAAAGGCACTTCTAAAAGGCAAAAAATATCAGAAAACACACAAAAAATCAGTAAATACGCTAAAATGCGAAAAATTTTCAAGAGTTTGAAACGAGCCAATAAAACCTGGTAAAATCTTTGAAACCCGAATTGTAACTTACTTAAATTCGCAAAAATTACGATCCGAAAGTCAGAAACAGCCCCAAAAAATTCCTAATTATTTTTTCCCGCTCAGTGTCGAGGGGGTGCACGTGAAAAAATATTCTGATGAGGGCAGGGCAGCAAAGACAGACGTCTTCGGGAATTTTTGATGGATTACGTGGAGGAAGAGGAGGGGAAGGGGGAGGGTTATTGCCTTTTTCGGGATTCGTTGAGGGATTGGAAGAGGGCAGGTCGACAACACCAGGAAATTTCACTCAAGATCAGAAAATTGAAGAGTACAATCAACCATACAAGGTGCTAAAATTCCTAAAGAATCGCTGCTAGCTAGCCCCAGAAAACACCAAAAATGGATTGAAGGTTTGAAAAAAATCACGTAAAAAAATTGAGCACAAAAAAAGTCAAAAAGGTAGTTTCCCACAGAATCTCCGCTAGTTTGCTTCAATCGGTCCATTTTCCTGAAAGATCTCGGCTAGCCTGCCCTGGTCCACCGTTTTCTAAAGAATTCTCGCTAGATCCCGGACGCAGAAATTTTTAAAGAATCGATGCTATTTGCCCTGCATCAGCTGATTTTCCTCAAGGATCTCTGCTAGCCTGCCCCGGGCGCTCATTCCTGAAGTATCACCGGTAGCTTGCCCAGACGCATGAATCCCAAGGATCTCTGCCAGCCTGCTTCGGTTCCGATTTAGGATTAGGTCTAGGCTTCGGCTTATGCATAGGCTCCAGCAGCTTAGGCTTCCGAGACAAAATTCCACAATTTTTGAGCCCCAGAAAAAGTAGTTCCTTAAAAAGCGGATCTAAAAACCTGGGGTCCACTTTGAAAATTGCCCGAAAAGTATCCGGTCGGCTCGAGGTGGGGAGGGGCAGGTTGTCCTCTCCGGAAAGGGGCCGTAGACCTAGGGCATTCGGGCACGGCTAATCGTCTTTTCTTTCGGAATTTCGTCGTGGTCGTTCTGGAAGGGCTGAAGAGAGGGGAGAGAGAGAGAGAGAGAGCGAGAGAGAGAGCAGGAGAGAGCAGGAGAGAGAGAGGGAGAGGGAGAAGGAGGTGAGAGAGAGAGAAAGAGAGAGCGATATAGAGAGAGACAGCGAGATCGATATCCGGGTTTTCGAGAATGGTTCTGAAGCAGAAATCGTATTTTTGGTCAGGAAGTTACCTTTAGTGCGCTTCCGTAGGAATCTCTGCTAGCCCGCTTTGCCCTCCTAACACCTTTAAAGCCGATTCCTAAAGGATCTCTGCTCTAGCCCACTTTCGATTCGCCTCGAATCTAGTTGCAAAGAATCTCTGTTAGCTTGCCACATCTGGACTTGCAAATCCATTGAAAAAGCATTCTCAAAAGGTATGTCCTCATCTGCGGACCCTCCTTCTCAGCCCCTTTAAGGTTATTTCCTAAAGAATCACTGCTAGCCTGCCAATCTCCCGAGCTCCAGATCACTTCAGAACCCTTTCCCAAACAATCTCTGCCAGCATGCCCCGAAAAATTCTTTGTTTTCCCTAGGCAGAACTCGGTCCCGTTGGTTTTTTGCTCTCTCTGCAAGTCGTTGACGAGCGTTGGGGAGGTATGTGAATGAGTGTATATGGGGTGTGTATATGTGAATGCGTGGGGGCTGTCAAAAACAAAGGAGCCTCGCGGAATAGCCCCCCACCCAGCAAGGCTTGAAGAAAAGCTCAAAAAGATCCTAGGGCGGGACAGCCGGGGACGTTTTGGCTTTTGGCGTGTGTTTTAAAGAGACTTGGAAGGGAGGGACAGGGCGGCAAGCAGAGATTTTTTAGGAAGGGGCAGGCTAGCAGAGATTTTTTAGGAAACGGCAGGCTAGCAGAGATCCTTTAGGAGAGGGCAGGTTAGCAAAGATTCTTGCGGAAAAAGTGGTCAAACCCCAAAAATGAGCAAGTCTGGGAATCAAATTTTTTCAACGAGCCGGTCAGCTCCTAAAATCTGTCACCAAATTCCGCTAGGGTTCTCCCCCCCGAAAAGAGCTTTGATTGCGACCCGTGGGAATTCAAATTCGGCCGCAGGGAAACCGCAGAAAAAATGCCGGATAAAAAATCCGGAAGCAAGTGAGGCATCAGAAAATGGGAAGAGCTAGTCTGCGTTTTTCTGAAGAATCTCTGCTAGCCTGCCCTTTCCTAAAGAATTTCTGATAGCTTGCCACCACGGTAAAGACCCCTCGGCGTCACCTGTTCCGTTTTGGCCAAACGGCTTCAGGCTATTTTCCGCGAACCCAGCTATTCCAGGCACGAAATCTAAACGAGGATCTCTAGCCGAGTTTTTTGCTCGCCGACCACACACTAAAGATAGGGCAGCAATTTCGAGGACAGGCTGCGTCAGTTGGTACGTTGCGTAGTAAAAGAGAGAGAGAGAGAGAGAGAGAGAGAGAGAGAGCTAGCAAAGATCTTTTAGGAATTCCTATGAACATTTTAATGTTGCCCAAGCCGCTCGCTTCAAATTTGAAGTGAGGAACTGAATTCGGGGCCCCCGAATTCGTCAAGAGCACCCAAAGTAGCTACGAGGAAGAACGCGGAACGGCTGACGAGAAGAAAGAAAAGCGGCGACTCGTTAAAGAAATGGTTAAACGTACAAAAACAGAAGGTTCAGGAAATTCCGCAAATGACTTTTGCTAGCCTGCCTATATTCCTGAGGCAGGTGGGCTAGCAGAGGTTCTTAGGAAAGGCCAGTCTAGCAGAGATTTTTGAGGAAAAAGCAGGCTAGCTGAGATTCTTGAGGAAAAGGCAGGCTAGCAGAGATTCTTGCGGAAAAGGCAGGCTAGCAGAGATTCTTGCGGAAAAGGCAGGCTAGCAGAGATTCTTGCGGAAAAGGCAGGCTAGCAGAGATTCTTGCGGAAAAGGCAGGCTAGCAGAGATTCTTGCGGAAAAGGCAAGCTAGCAGAGATTCTTGCGGAAAAGGCAAGCTAGCAGAGATTCTTGCGGAAAGGCAAGCTAGCAGAGATTCTTGCGGAAAAGGCAAGCTAGCAGAGATTCTTGCGGAAAAGGCAAGCTAGCAGAGATTCTTGCGGAAAAGGCAAGCTAGCAGAGATTCTTGCGGAAAAGGCAAGCTAGCAGAGATTCTTGCGGAAAAGGCAGGCTAGCAGAGATTCTTGCGGAAAAGGCAAGCTAGCAGAGATTCTTGCGGAAAAGGCAGGCTAGCAGAGATTCTTGAGGAATCCCAGATCAAAAACTCCCGAAAAATAGCCTTAGCCCCTGGCGTCATCACCAACATTCGCAACACCAACCCCGGAACTTCTTCAAAAAGAACGGGAAGCTCTTACGGACAAACTTAAAGGGCCCACCGAGGGCCCAATGTTAGGACCCAACACCCTTTTTCCTTGTGTTCTCACAAAGGTTCGGACGATCGTGTGGATGAAGGGGTCGTCGTGTGGAGACAGAATATAGCTCTCCCCCCTAGTCTGGGTCCTATCCCTTAGGGCCCAGTGGCCATAGCCAAGGGCCCTAGGCCCGGGGGCTCGAATCCAATTGGCCGCGTAAACCGCTTACGACAGGACGATGGCCAGAGGCAGGGGGGCCACAGATAGAGGGCCCACCCCGACGGGGGGCCCTCTTCTAGCAGTCGAGAGGGTTTGAAATTAGAACAATTCCCCGGGGTGGTTGCACTTTTGGGAGTTTAGAATTCAGGTTTAAAGGGACGATGAAGGGGATACGGTTTCTGGAAGAATCTCTGCTAGTTTGCCTAGGGAAGAGAGAAAGAGAGAGAGAGGGAGAGAGAGAGCGAGCGCATAGCAAACGTTTTCTAAAAATTTTTGCTCGCTTCTTTGCCTTCACAGTTCCTTCAAAAAGTGTACAAAACTCGAAATTTTGGTTCAGTCGTTATATGAATTTTCGCTCCGCAAAAAACTCTGTCAGCTTGTCCTATGTGAGACGGAGAAGGCGAAAGAAGGAGAGATCGAGAGATCGAGAGAGTGAGAGATATTGAGAGAGAGTGCGAGAGAGTGAGAAAGAGCAAGCGAAAGCGAAAGGGCGTTAGAGAGCTAGCGAAAGAGAGATAAAAATTGATGCTAGCAGAGAGTCTTCAAAAAAGTTCAAACTAGCGGAGATTCTTTAGCAAAGCGTAGGCTAGAAGAGGCCCTTTCCGAATCCCGGAACGCCACAAAAATGACGTTTAGATGGGCGTGAAATTTGGCCCACAAGGGTTCCCGGGCTGCGTGGGGTAGGGAGGGCCATAAAAAATAATCCTGGCTGGGCCTCCCCCCTCATGCTCGCCTCCGATTCCCCTAATTTGCATCAAATTTCCCAGCCGCGAGCCGGCTGCCGGCCGTCCGGGAGTAATGCCGCGTAGTGTCCCGGAATTTTTAGGGGCGTTCCGAATTGAAATGGGGTAGTGGGGATTCGGAAAAATCTTAGGCTTAGGTTTAGGCTTGGGCTTAGGATTCGGCTTAGGCTTAGGCTTAGGCTTAGGCTTAGGCTTAGGCTTAGGCTTAGGCTTAGGCTTAGGCTTAGGCTTAGGCTTAGGCTTAGGCTTAGGCTTAGGCTTAGGCTTGGGCTTGGGCTTAGGCTTAGGCTTAGGTTAGGCTTAGGCTTAGGCTTAGGCTTAGGCTTAGGCTTAGGCTTAGGCTTAGGCTTAGGCTTAGGCTTAGGCTTAGGCTTAGGCTTAGGCTTGGGCTTAGGGTGCTTAGGCTTAGGCTTATGCTTAGGCTCAGGTTAGGCTTAGGCTTAGGCTTAGGTTAGGCTTAGGCTTGGGCTTCGGCTCAGGATAAAATTATTAAAATAAAAAATAGATAACTTCCGATTTGTTCCGGGTTCAAAAACTCACATGGCTAGAGCGACGCCGACATTCTAAAATGTGCCCTCCCCTTCGAGGGTGCAGCAAATAGAATTTGAATTCGACGTGCACCCGGAAAGGGCGACGCAGAAAGGGACTAATGCCACCTGTTTATGCTGTTTTAAAGGGGATGGGAAGGTCGAGGAAATCTGGAAAAAAGTAGGCTAGCAGAACTCCTTTTGGAAAGGGCAGGCGAGCAGAGATTCTTCGATTGCCCAGAATCTGCCTTCAAAGTTCCTTTAAAATGTCTATTTCTTTTTTTTGTTGAATGCCTTCATTTATTCCACCTCAATAATCCACAGACCAAACATCGCTATTCCACTTGTTCCTCACGATGTTCCGCTCGTACTTTTTGATCATCTCCTCGGCCAGTTGCACGTATTCTGCTTTGCAAGAAGTGGCAGACTTTCCTAAAGAATCTCTGCTAGCCTGCCCGTGCCTAAAGAATCTCTGCTAGCCTGCCCATTCCTAAAGAATCTCTGCTAGCCAGCCCTTTGCTAAAGAATCTCTGCTAGCCTGCCCTTTCCTAAAGAATCTCTGCTAGCCAACCCTGTCCTCAAGAATCTCTGCTAGCCTGCCCTTGCTAAAGAATCGCTGCTAGGCTGACTGCCGAAAATTCTAAATCTTACTTACCTCTCATCGCCTCCCAAGCCTCATACTTTTCCTTCTCAAACCCCGAGCCGGGTTTTACTAGAAAAATAGGAGATTTGGATCCTAAAAGTTGCCCAACTTACCGTACTCGTCCAGTGGTGGGATGTCACCATGCACAGCTTGTTTATAAAGGGAATAGAGTCTAAAAAATGCCCAAGAATACGAAGTTTTAAGCCATAAAGTTGATTTTTTTGGTGGTTTTTGACAACCTACCGTAATTTTTCTTCATTCGTGGGCGTTTTGTAGAGGCGCCGCATCTCTTCAGCGGCAATATCAAAGGTAAGGCCTTGCCATTTCTAGGTTGATCTTGCTAGCTCACTCTCTCTCGCTCCCGCCCTCTCTCTATCTCTCTCACTCTTTCTATCTCACTCGCTCTCCCGCTCTCTCACTCGCTTTTGCGATAATTTAAGGCAAAAACGTACTTTTCTTAGCTCTGAAAGCGGCATTTTAGCAGTAGATCCTCGGAATTTGGTAGAATATCGACTGCGAAGTGCTTGGGAGCTGTCTGTGTGTCTGTCTGTCTCTCACGCTCTGTCTCCCTCACTCTCTCTCTCTCACTCGCTCTCTCTTTCTCACGGCCGATCTCTGTTTCTTGTCCTCTCCCGCTCTCGTCGAAATTGGGACCCACAATTGTGGCCAATTTTGACGACCTCGCGATGTCATTTGTCGATAGTATTTTCGCGGAATCTAGCAGAAATTTTACTGTACTGTTTATTATTGCATTTTTACCCCAAAATATGCAAAATATTTATCGCTCATCGGGGCGGATCACAGGCGGGATAAAAGCATGGAAGAAGCAGAGGGAAAGTGCGAGATAGAGAGGGAGAGAGAGCGAGAGAGAGAGAGAGAGAGAGAGAGAGAGAGAACCAGAGACAGCTTCAGACCCCTTTCGAAGCCTCCTAAACAGTTTCCTGCCCTTTCCCCCGCGGCTCCATGCCGAAAATTCGACTCAAAAGCTGGAAATCGAGAGTGGGATAAGTGGAAATAGGCAAAGTCGGAGCTTCACTAGCTACGATAGGAATTTCCTGGGTTTCAGCAAGGGAAGTAAGGCCGGATTCCGGAGCGGTAGGCGGGACAAACATCGGTACCTCGGTTTCCGGAACCGCGAGTCCAGACGTCTTTGGTTTTGGAGATATTTGGGGAGGTGAAGCCTCTCGAATCGTGGCTCCGGCCGGTTGGGTGATAGGGAAAAGTGGAAACATCAACGGGGAGAGGTTTTTGCAGGCCTGAAACGTGTTGTAAGTAGGGCTTAGGCTTAGGATTCGGCTTAACCGATTCCAGAGAGAGAGAGAGAGAGAGAGAGAGAGAGAGTAGGGAGAGAGAGAGAGAGAGAGGGAGGAGAGAGAGAGAGAGAAAGGGAGATAGAGAGAGAGAGAGAGAGAGAGAGAGAGAGGGAGAGAGTGGGAGAGAGATAGAGACTCACCTGTACCCTCGGATACTTTGCATTCGGTCGTCTCCCGCGGGGAACCCGGGCCGTTGCCAATAAGCTTTCAATCGAGAACGAGGGCCCTCTTTTGAGCTGAAAAAAATCGAGGATTAAGTACAACCTTTTTCAAACCAACCGCATCGTCATCGCCAGGCTCTTTTTGGGTTGGGCCGTTGCCAAGCGCGATTTTACGTTGATTTTCTCGTTTTCGCCATTTTGCCCGACGGTTTTGGAACCAGACCTGAAAAATTCCACTACGGGTAGGCTTGCAGAGATTCTTGAGGTACCAGACCGGACAAGAAAAGCGACATTTTTAGCTCGCCCGCCACGTCACTATCATCCCCCCTAATCTGGGACATTTTTAGGGGCGGCCAGGGTAGCTTTTTCCGGCGGCGGCGCGGCGGGACACCAATTCATTGTCGTAGCCCGCAGATTTTTCCGTGTAGATACGAGCGAACAAATTAGGGACAGGGGCCACGAAAAGCCCTGGAAACTCATCCATCTAGGCCGCCCACCCGGGCACGTCTCTAACTTTTGATTTCGGAAAAGATTCCGATGGGAGGTTACGTGGTTTCGGGGTTGTTTCTTGGATTTAATGAGAGGACTTCAGAAGACAAAATAAAGCCACGATTTCCCACGAATCTCTGCCAGCTTGAGCTTTCCCAAAGAATCTCTGCCAGCTTGACCTTTCCTAAAGAATCTCTGCCAGCTTGCCTTTTCCTAAAGCATCACTGCTAGTTTCCTCAACCATAAATCCTAAAAATCAACCTGAACCCGGCTCTCCAGCAAGTCCAACCTCATCGCCAGCGACTCGCGCATAAACACATCCGGGTAATGAGAAGACTGAAATCGATTTAGGCGCTTTAATGACAACATACCTCAAAGGCCCCCTCCAGCTCCTCGAGTTGCCAGCCCGTAAAATTCGTCCTCGTGCGCCTCCGCTTTGAGTCCATCGAGTGGCAATCTGGAGTCAGTAGGTAAAAAAGCCCAAAATCTCTCTCTCTCTCTCTCTCTCTCTCTCTCTCTCTCTCTCTTCCCAACTCACCAATCTGTCCCATATCCACGTTATTCCCCTCTCCATCCGGGGTTTTTGGCGTGACGGCGGGACTCGGAGAAGACTCGGTGTCACCGGATCCGGATGCTGGGCACAACAGAGCTGCACAATTGAATAATTTGCATAATTCTATTTTGGCTGCTCTTTAAAGCTTCGTAGAAGGGCAAATCTTGCCATACAGTAGATTTTCGACTTGAGGGTCCCTTTAAGCCACAAAACTCACGAGTCTGGTTGACCAGCGATTGCTGCCAATACTGGTTCCACATCTGCGTCAGGTCGGCGTTCTCGAACATGGCTTTGAAGCTGAAAAATTGGCATAACCAAAGCCTAATCCTAAACCTAAGCTTAGCCTAAGCCCAAACCTAAGCCTAGCAGAGAATTATGAGAAATTTCAGGATTATTTTTTTTGGTCGATCGGGAGATGGCAGGCTAGCAGAGATCCTTTAGGAGTTGTGGATCCAATATTTTTGACAGCATAAGTGCAAACTAGCAGTGACGATTTAGGAATTGTGCGTATTTTCTAGACATTACAGGCTTTTTTAAATCCCGGAAATTCCTCAAAACGACAAAAATCAAGTGACGTAGTCGCTCAAAAATGTTTCGGGAAAATTGAGCCGCCGTAGCCTCGAAGCGGAAAATTGTGCAAGGGCAAGCTAGCATCGATCTTTTAGGACGATCAAAGACATGAGAACGCAATTGGAAAGCAGTTTTTGAAACGGCAATCTAGTCATTGAAAATACAAAAATCAAAGCAGGGAAAAAAGCTATCGTAATCCTCAAAAAACGCATAAAGCGGGGAGGGCATTTAGGAATTTTTCTAAAGCTTCAGCGAGCCTTTAACCATTTTTATAAACAGAGAGATTCATCGTAGATAATTTTAAACATTTAGAAAGTCAGAAAAGACGAGCTACCGTAACTGCAAGAGCAGAAAATTCGGCAAGGCAAGCTAACCGATATTTTAGGAATCATTTTTAAGACTTCTGAACGCCCTTTATAATTATAAATCAATGAGGCTCTGAAAATAAATCGGCTCCAAAAAATTACAGCCCGTTAAATCAAAAAAATCCAGCTACCGTACCCCTGCCCGACCGAAAAACGCCGGACGTCCGGCCACTGGGAAGGAAAAGCATTAGCCTGGCGGGCCCGGGTGGCCATGGGCCCTCGGGCCAATGGCCACCCCGAGGGGGCGGGTTTTTCCAGCTCTGGCGGGCCCCAAATTTCCCCACGGGACCCATTTTCAGGGTGGGGCCCACCCCGGAATCTCGAGCAACCAGTGAAAAGCAACCACCCGGAGTGGAGAAGTTGCGAAGGGGAATTTATTTTTGGCGTTAAGGCCTCGAAAAACACAAAAACTGGCTGGTGAAGTTCTAAAAAAGCCGTCTCTTTAATCTCTTTAATCTTTAAAACTTCTTAAAGGGCCTCGGAAGGCAAAATTTGCGGATAAGCGCTGTCGATAGACCGGATCGGCTAGTTATCAAAACTTTGCGGAGGGTTAGTCTCCAGGCTAGACCCCTTAAGGGACCTAGAGCATTGGAAATGGCACTTTCCAAGCCAGACTCTACGCGGCACAATTCCACAAAAAATCTTTTGCGGCGGCTAATCTCTGCTAGCGGCCCTTTCCTAAAGGATCTCTGCTAGTCTGCCTTTCTTAAACAAACTCCGCTAGTTTGCCCTTTCCTAAAGAATCTCTGCTCCGGTGCCCCCTTTCCCAAAGAAACTCTGCTAGCCGCCCGCTTGACAAATTTTCATTCGCCCCGTAAAATCCCAAGTCCAATCCAATCCCCCTCCATTTCCTGGGGTCAATCCATGAATTTCAATCAGTTTTTTTCTGGGGACCCCGAAGCGAAAGAGACGAATCCATTTTGCTCGAATTTCAACTGCCGGTCCTTGTCGTCCAGTTGGAATGGTGCCAAAAAGGGCCCTTCTCTACCCGATGGGGGCGACGAAGATGGAATTGCAATTCATCCGTCTACGGTCTCGATTACACCCCCACTACCCACAACGGGTCGCCCCAATTTTGCATATAAATTTATTTTCTGCCAAGAAGAGCAGCGGCCGATGAAAATTTGGAGCCCAATTTAGGGAATTAGGAAACGAGTCCAGCGATTATTATATCGAATTTATGAAAAAACGTGATGAAATGGCGAGCCGAGATCCTTTAGGATTCTTGGGTTACGCGCAGGCTAGCAGTGACCTTTGCGGAAATTTGCATCGTGAGTGACTAGCGTAGGTTGTTGATGCACAAAAAATATCAGTGAGGCAGGCAAGCAGAGATCATTTGGGGCGCTTGAGATTCGGAGAGGCTGGCAGTGATTCTTTCGGAGATTTCTCGGTTTTCGAAGCATTTCGGGCAAGCTAGCCGGGAAACTTTCAGAATTTCGATAGGGCAGGCTAGCAGGGATCCTGCAGCAAGCCCAGGCCAGACCTTGGCTTAAGCTTAGGTTTAAGCTTAGGCTTAGGCTTAGGCTTAGGCATATGCATTAGCTTGAGTTAGGCTTCGGCTTCGGCCTAAGAATAATGGTCAAATTCCGGACTAATACTATCGCCGGAAGTGCTTATGTTGCGAATCCAAGGCCTAGGGCCCAGAAATGGATGATGGGGCCCGGGGATTGGGCCCTGGAGAGTATATTTTGGGCATTTTCGACAGGGGCCTTATCTCTTCCACTCCCTCCATTGCTTTGGGCCCTAAAGGGGCAGAGAAGTGGGGGGGGCAAGAATTGAAGAAGCTGATCATGGGCCCCGATAAGGCTAGGGCAATTTGGGGGCCCATCATGGGGCCCAGTATTTGAGTGGGCCCCCATCAAAATATGGGCCCCAATGGGATGTCCGGGCGGAGGGGAATCGGATTATTATTGTTTGGAGATGGATGAGTCGAATTCCTCTAGTCTGGGAATTCGGGAGAGGATCATAAAGAATCTCTGCTAGCCTACCTTTCTTAAAGAATCTCTGCTAGTCTGCCTTTCCTAAAGAATCTCTGCTAGCCTGCCGTTTCCTAAAGAATCTCTGCTAGCCTACCTTTCTTAAAGAATCTCTGCTAGTCTGCCTTTCCTAAAGAATCTCTGCTAGCCTGCCCTTTCCTAAAGAATCTCTGCTAACCTGCCCTTTCCTAAAGAACCTCTGCTAGCCTACCTTTCTTAAAGAATCTCTGCTAGCCTGCCTTTCCTAAAGAATCTCTGCTAGCCTGCCCGTTCATCCATTAATGCGCGAAAATCTCCCTCCCTCTGGGGGATCATCACCCCGAGGTGCTAATTTGAGGCGACTTGTTGTCTTCCAGCTGTCAGTCACTCATTCATTTTGTCCGTCTCTCTCTCTCCGTCTCTCTCTCTCCTCTCTCTCTCTCTCTCTCTCTGTCTCTCTCTCTTCTGTCACTCCCCCCAGGCAACGATCGCATTATGATAGACGATAGGGCCGATTATGCAAATTAGCTGCCTGCTCACCACCTCCCCGGAGGAATTGTGACAGCCTCAGTAAATTCGCGCAATTTTGGCCTGCCAACCTTCACCGATCTCACTAATGATCTCTGTTACCTCCCTAGCGCTAGACGAAGTGCAGGCTAGCAGAGATTCTTTGGGAATTAGAAATACTCCGGGACCGGGTAGCTAGCAGGGATCATCTGGGACCGAATTTAGGAGAGCGGGCTTGTAGAAAACGGTGCCGGGCGAGCTAGCAGGGATTCATTAGGATTCGGGACACTAGTCATGATCCTTTAGGAACGAAGGAGATCTGAGGAGAGCTAGCGGTAACTCATTAGGAAACATCCAATTTTGGACCAGCTAGCAGAAGCTAGCAGAGATTCTTTGCCCACGTCCCACTTCAGAATAAATCTTTGTTTTTCCAGTCCAACACTCGCGGCTACCGTAATCCACTGGGGCCACCCGGGTCCCCAGTGGATTTTCGAGGGGGCCTGAGCAGCAGTGGATTGTGTTGGGAATGATGAATTTGGTGTGGTGAGGGCCAGTTTGGGCCCTTAGCCAAGGGCCCAATCCTTTCTTTTCCCTCAGCCACCCACCAGCCAGTGGCCAAAACGCTAAAATCTGACCCCAGGGAGTTGGGGGCAGTCGGGGGGCGCGAGGCGCCCTCGTCAGCCCCATCATGCGCCGATTTGCATTTGGCTGGCTAGGTGCGGCTAGGGGGCAACTCGGGATTACGGTAGTCGTGGCGTGGAGCAGGAAAAAAATTGTGAAGCTGGTGATAAGCCTAAAGAGCCACCTGCTATCCGGCCCCTTCCTAAAGAATCTCTGCCAGCCTGCCCTTTAAAGAATCTCTGTAGCCTGCCCTTTCCTAAAGAATCTCTGCTAGCCTGCCCCTTCCTAAAGTCTGCTAGCATGCCCTTTCCTAAAGAATCTCTGCTAGCCTGCCCTTTCCTAAAGAATCTCTGCTAGCCTGCCCTTTCCTAAAGAATCTCTGCTAGCCTGCCCTTTCCTAAAGAATCTCTGCCAGCCTGCCCCACCTTAAAGAATCTCTGCTAGCCTGCCCTGACTTGCCAGCCACTCACCCAACCGCTCCTTCCCTAGTTAGCATCTGAAACTATGCGAATGGGGCTCCCCTACTCGGCCCTCGTAGGTGAAAAATGGGGTCCCGGGGGGAAGGAGTCGAGGAGCCTGTCTCAATTATGGGTGTTTGCTCCCCGGTCCCGAGGGCATTTCGACAAATTTCCAGAAATTATTCCCGGACTACGGGGCGATACTATGGACGAGGATCTGTTTGAAGGGAAGGTGAACTGGCGGGGATCCTTTGTGGATTGGAGCGAGAGGGGAGAGAGAGAGAGGGGGGGGGGGGGGGGGGGGGGGGGGGGGGGGGGGGGGGGGGGGGGGGGAAAGGGGGGGGGGGGGGGGGGGGGGGGGGGGGGGGGGGGGGGGGGGGGGGGGGGGGGGGGGGGGGGGGGGGGAAGAGAGCGGGAGAGAAAAGAGAGAGAGAGAGAGAGAGAGAGACAGCGAGATAGGGCGAGAGAAGAAAGTAGAAATCTTTAAAGTTTAGGAAAAAGAAAGGAAGAGTCGGTTTGAGATCTTGGTGGAACGAAGAGCTCTATTTGGAAAGGCAAGCTAGCAGTATCTTTTAGGAATTCTACATCAGGGCAGCCTAGCAGAGGTTCTTGCGGATTCGCGGATGCTATTTTTTTGCGGTTACCGCTTCTTCTACTCCCAATCCCAATCCCATTAATTTCTGGGCCAATTTCTAGATGCCCTATTTAGAAATCGTGGCCATAATTCACCGTACGCAGGCGCGATTCGGAATTTCCAAATTTTCTCTTTCTGGCTACCACCCCTAGCAAATCAACGCGCCTCTAATCCATCTGCTTTCTATCGGGCTAAATTTTCGACAGCCCATTTCCAATCTCTCTTGCTTTCGCCCTCCCTCTCTCTCTCTCTCTCTCTCTCTCCTCTCTCTCTCTCTCACTCTCTTTCTCGTGCTCTTTTTCGGAGGCCGCCTTCCTCTGGCTTGTAATATATTTGAATCTCGGCTAGACAGGCTCGCTAAAAATTGCCCCCAGAAATTTGGAGGCGCTAAATTGGGCCCGGGGTGGGATTGGAAAACGTAAGAGAAGGGCAGGCTAGCAGAGATTCTTTAGTAAAACTATCCCCTTTTTAAGTGCATAAAAAGCTAGCAGTAATATTTAGGACGCAATGCACCCTGGGCAAGCTAGCAGAGATCCTTGCGGAACCAGAACTTTCGCCAATTTTTCCTTGAGCCATCTGGCAGAGGTTTCCTAAAAGATCTCTGTTCTTTGCCTGGGCTTCCAGATTTCCTAACGAACCTCTGCTAGCCCTTTTTCCCGGCAGGCTAGCAGCGATTCTTTAGCCGTAGCTTCTACACTTTTTACGTGAGCTATCTTGCAGAGATTCTTACACAATCACTCATTTTCCTCACGGTTCTCTGCTCTTTTTTCTTTCTTTAGCTTTCCTAGCTTCTCTGGGCAAGCTAACAGAGATCTTTTGGTTTTCCAGTTTTTCCTTCAATTCCAGAGGTCAGCCACCGCCACCCCCCCGTCATTTCATCTTTCCGTTTCTTCAAAGATTCGATGGCTAAGAAACAAGTTGAACTTTGTTGCTTCCATCCCTCCATTCGGGCAATAGGTCAGGTTTTTGTAGCCTGATTTGGGCATCGGAATCGCCAAATACACGCAGAAAGCAGAAACTGTGATTCATGCGCTGGGGGGGGGCAATTTTTCGGTTTTTGATCAGCCGCGAAAAGATGCGAACTTTCCCAAATTCGGCCAACTGGACGGGGAGAGAGCGGGAAAGAGAGAGAGGGCGCAGAGAAAGGAGAGAGAGAGAGAGAGAGAGAGAGAGAGAGAGAGAGAGAGCGAGAGAGCGTGCAGACATTTGGTACACCAGTCCATCTAGCGAACCGCCAGTCACGGTATCGGCTTCGTTTTGGGCGAATAGCCTCGCGGGGTTATGTATAAAATCCCCGGCTTCACGCTAGAAACATCAAGCCAACCCTCGTCTACTATTCGACTACAAGCTACACCCTAAATACAAAGTGGTGAGTTTTTCCAAAAAAAAAAATTTAAGCGAATTTTGCTCGATTTTTCAAGCTTTTTGGATTTTTAAACAGCTTTTTTTAAAGCGATTTTAAGCCCAAAAAATCCCTGCTAATTCCAACTTTTAAAATAACGGCTAAATCGTATCAATTTACACTAAAATCTAGACCAATAAAAATAATTTACGGCACTTTTAGTTAAATAAACCTTTTCCAGAAAATGAGAACCTCGACCCTGGTCCTGCTCGTCGGCCTCATCGCCCTCGTCGGCCTTTCGATGGCCTACCCTGCCGCTGAGGAGCACCAAGACCCCTCTGCCGACCATGGAGCCCTTGCAGCGGAAGATGCCGACCCAACTGAGGGGTAAGTGGATGAACAACTTCAATTTCGTCGAGGATAGAGAAAAGTGGGAGTCGCATTCATTTTTGGCTGGACTGCTTGAAGTTGACGCCCAGGCTAGAAAAAAAGCAAAAGTCGGTCTCGCAGTCTAGTAGCATCTAACCAGCTCGGAGTCGATGTCCAGACCGGAAAAAAGCAAAAATCTTTTCATAGCCGTAGCAACTGAACAGCTCGAAGTCGATGCCCAGACCAGAAAAAGCAAAAATCGCTTTCATAGCCGTATCAATTGAAGAGCTTGAAGTTGCCAGCTCGACCAAAAAACGTCAAAAAAAAAAAGTAGCAAAAAAAATAGCCCCCCGGTAGCGCAATAGAACCGTTGAACAGCTTCAGGTTGACGTCGGGGCTGTAGAAACTAAAAAACCCTTCTAAACATCGCATTTTCAGACACGTACCGCGCGCGTCGCTGGGGCGGCTACTACGGCGGATACCGCGGCGGCTTCGGCGGCTACCGCCCGTGGGGCTACAGGCCGTGGGGATACCGCCCGTACGGATACGGCATGTACGGAATGTACGGAAAATAAGCTCGCCCAGCTCGCCAAGCCTGTACACAACGCCTTAATATTTGAATCTCACGTCTCCTGGATATCGTGCATTTAATAAAATATATGCATTCGCCGTTCAACACAACATTTATTCAACAGAAAAACTCTCAATAATTATCAATTCCAAAACATAACATAAAATGACTATACAAGGTGGGAAATTATCTTATTATTTGTCGACGACCTCTTCGCATTCACAGCGGCGTCGAGGGTCCACTCTGAAAAAAAGAATAATTCTAAGTGAAACTTAGAAAAATCCTGAATTTTCCCTAGATACAACTTTTCAAATAGAAATAATAAAATACAACCTTAAATACTATTTTTACTATTACTAAAATAACCACTACAAACTTTAGTTGACAATACAAAAACATACAAAAATAAATATCAAATTTTCGACAAAAAATGCCGATTTCGACCAAAATTTGCCTAAAAATATTGATTATCATGTCTGGCAATTTTGATGTTATTATCACTACGCATCGGCCATTAAGAAATATTCAAAATACAAAAATTAGGCTCATTTTCGATGAAAATTCGCATTTTTTAGCTTTTTCTAGGTTTTGCCAAAAAATCGAACTCGAAAGAAGGTTTAATTTTATCAAAGACGGCACTAAGATACCGGCCACCTTACTACGAGTATCTATAATAACCTTATCAGCAAAAAAATTGGATTCCCCCCCCCCCCGCTAGTGCAAAAGCGCAGAAAACACTACAAACCTCCTGAAACGACTCGTCCTGGCTTTCCGTGTGCTCGTCGAGACGGGCTGAAAAAGGAAATATACTAATATAAGAACAAACCAATAAACTTATAAAGTGTAACTAAATAAGAAATTCATTCAAAAATAAACGTAACTACAACTAAATTCCAAAGTAACAAAAACTAAACTTAACCTAAAAAAAAATCGTAAATTAAATAGTTGAATGGTAAATTAATTAAAAACTAAGGACTACAATAAGCAATTCTAAATTAAAGTAATCGTCTCCCACCTCGGTATCGTGTGATGCGACGATAGACCGGAGGCGGGCACGCTTTCCTTGGTGGCTGCTTCCTGATCGAAGACTAAAATTAACGACATAATTCTGATTATAGAACCATTCGATACCTTTTTGGGGGTGGCAGCTGAAGATTTGGGTGGCACATCGTTCTCAGCCTAAAAATAAATGTTTGTAAACCCGAAATAAAAATATAAAAGATACCATTTGCGTGCCGGCGTCGACCATGCTGGCGGAGCCGCGCGACTGGTCCATCGACGAGCTGGGCGAGGACGAGGAGCCGTTCTGAAAAAATTGGTTTTTCTGCTGTTTCCGGGGGCCCTGATAGAATTTTTAGCATGTACATCCCAATAAGTAATAAATTTACAAGAATCTATTAATCAAATACAAAAAATACCGTTTTTGCACCTATAAAAATTATCGAAATTCGAGCAAATTTTCGAATTTTAAACAAACTATTAAAATATTTGGTATGACGTTAATAAACAAACTACGACATAGAAAACGCCTAATTTGTCATTTTAATTTTTTGCAAAAAAAAATTAGATTACCGTGTCGTTCATCGACGACGACGAGCTGGAGGCGAGACACGGGGACGGCTGTTTCAGCGAGCACGGGCAGGGATCCTCTTGCGATTTCCGCTTCAACACCATCGACAGCTCCTTGCATTCGATGACTCGTCGGGTAAGCGATCGCAGCATCCGTTGGTTTTCCATCTGAATCGCCACATAGAAACCTTTCTGCGTAAATTCTGCTGCGTCAAACGCACAAAATTTACAACTTTTGATTACAACGCACAAAAAAAAAATAGATTTTTCGACCAAAATTGCAAAATTTTTTTTTTATTTTTTTTTTTTTTTAAAAAAAATTTAAAAAAATTTTAAAAAAAAAAAAATTATAAAAAAAAAAAAAAATCGATTTTCGACCAAATTACGCCCAAAACTTTTTTATTGTTTTGCTTGTTAAAATTTTTTACTAAAATAATTTATTAAGAAATTACTAGTCTAATTTTAAAAACAAATCGACGCATCGAATGATCCCCCCAAAAAAAAGTTCACCTCAAACTTCTCGCGAAGTCGCTTCTCCTCGGCCAGCCACTCCTCGGTGCGCTTCCGGACTTCTTGCTCGCGCGCCAGCAGATGCTGGGTGATCTTAAAAACACTTCTCATAATTGCGGAAAACAAAATACGAACCTCTAGGCGTGACCTAAGTCCTTCGATTGTATCTTGCACGACATGGCTATCATGTGTCGAGGCGACCGGGGCGCAAACTTGCGAAACTTCGGCTCTTCGCGGGCTTGCCGGCGCGATTTCCTGACAAAAAAATAGATATATTAAATCTAAATGGGTATCTTTCAAATTGTCGAAAATCATAATGTCGAAATTCCGGTGCTTTCGCATTATCGGGGGGGACCAACTTTTTCGGTCAAGCCAAAATTGCTTTTATAAATAGCGGATGCATTTCTACATTGTTTCTAACTATTGCTACGCATAGAAACTTTACCAATTTTTATTAAAAATTTAATTTTCGGTCGAAAAATTGGCCAAAATGACCGGTTTCCTTTTTTCCTTTTTTGAAGCTACGTCAAATCAAATCAAAACGTACCAAAACAATGTAAAAACACTATATTTGGTTACTAGGCAAACCGGGGCCGCCAGGGAACAAAATGCTTGTTTCCATTTTGAAATTTCGACACTATGACATTTTGACATGATGATAGCAAATCAATCTAGACCATTCTACCTCCTCGATCTTCGATGTGCTTGCATCCGACGTGTTCGACGTGTCCGAGGCGTCCATATACGTCGTCTGGTCGAGGACGCTCTCCTCGAAATCGGTGGTCTCATCGATTGACGGCATCTCGAACTCGTCGTCATCGTCGAGGATGATGAGCGAATCGTCGTCATCTTCTTGGGCCGAGCCCCTTGACGTCGATGGGCGTTCATCATCCAGCTTCATCCCGATCTCGGCGAAAGGGTGTGCAGGCAGTTTCGAGATGGCGGCAAAATGTTCCTAAAAACAACGATTATTAAAAAAGGTACTTTCGCCTTATCGGGGGACAAAGAAATTGCTTTTTTATTGACCAATTTTTCAAATATAAATAGCGGAAGTATTTCTAAACTGTTTTTTTTAATATACGTAAACCGAAAAACTTTACAATTCCTATTTAAAAAACACAAAATATACCGATTTTTCGACAAAAAATTGCCGTTTTTTACCAAAATTTCGACTTATTGAAAAATTTCCAAAGTTTTTAGATAGATTTTCTAGTTAAAATATAGTATTTCTTTCAATTAAGTTACTAAGTATTTCTAAATTACAACAAAAAAATGCACCCCTCCGATAATGCGCAAGAACCAAAAAAAATTATCTGACCTGTAGTAAGTACTCGTCGGTCCGCTCGTACTGCACAAACTCCACGACGGGGTCGTAGGTGACCGCTTTCGCGCCGGCCAGTTCCCGCACGCGTTTCTTCTCCAGCCGGGCCTAAATTAAAGTTGAAAATTTAATGCCCATCAATTCATTCCTCATAAATTTTGCTGACCGAAAGAAACTAAATAATTAAAATGTACATTTTTATCCAGATTTCTTCAGCTTAAAGGTTTAAACTTCAAAAAGTTTGAAAATATTACCAGCTCGTCCTCCTCGGTCTCGCCGCCGTCCTTGATGGGGCACTGCGTGATGTTGAAGAGCTGGTCGAGGTAGAGCACCGTCTGGTCGGCGGCTTCGCCCTCTTCGTCCTCGCCAGCGTTGTCCTCTTCCAAGTCATCGTCGTCAACCTAGGGTAAATTTTTATTCCACGGAGAATGGGAATACCACCTTAGCGAGCTGCAGCAGCTCCTCGTCAATTTTGACCTGCTCCACAACGTCGTCCACTTTGCCCAGCTGCAGCTTCTCGTCAACCTTGCCCAGTTGCAGCTCCTCGTCAACCTTGACCGTCTCCAGCTCCACGTCAATTTTGGCCTGCTCCATCGCGTTGTCCACCCTGTCCTCCTCCACCACGCCGTCAACCTTGCCCGTCTCCATCTCCTCGTCCTCGTCATCGCTGAGCGTAATAATCGAAATCTCGGCGACGTCCGTAGCTTCAGCGGCGGTGCCAGCTCCCGGCTCTTCAACTTTGTCCGTTTCGGAGATGTCCATCGCCAGCATCGTGTAGTCGTTCAGATTCTCCGGCAAAACCTTGTCCTCTTTTTCCGGGGTTTCGTCAGTTTTGATGTAAACTTGCTCCAGGATGACACTTTCGTTGGGCGCGTCGCCCTGCTGACCATCAGCTGAGTCGTCAGCTACGGTCGGATCGGCGGCCCTCAGAATAGCTTCTTTGTCCTCCTTTAGAACCTCGTCCGGCTCGTCGTCTCCAGCCTCGACCGGTTCCGGGTAGGCGCCGGCCTCCTCGGGCTCTTCGACGATCCCAGAATCGACCTGCTCGAGATCGTGCTCGTCCGGCCGCAGAGATACGTCGTGGATTTGCATCTAAATCGGAAGTTTTTGCCCATTCAATTGGCAGTGCTAGCAAACTCGCTATTGAATCTCGAATTTTCAGATGATCGAATTTTTCTACTATAAATAGAGGAACTGATTCTACGAGGTTTTCTACAAATTTACAATAAAAAACACGAAAAACTCTCGGCTTTCGATCAAAATTTGAAATCCTGAAAAAATTCTACGCTTGAAATATAGTTCAATGTCACTCAGGAAACTATTCTAAAAAAAACTTGGCAAAAAGATTAATTTTAATGTCTTTCCGCGTTTTTACTATTCCTGAACATAAAAAAACTTTAAAAATTCGTTATAAAATACAAAAAATCGCAATTTTTCTGTCCCAATTTTCAAATCCCTGAAAAAGTTTTCTGCGTTCCCAGAACGGTCTTCCGCTTCAAATATCGTTAAATTCACTTAAAAATACTACTAAGATACTTTTTACTACGTTAAAAGACCAAACCGACCCCCCGCGATAATGTCAAAGCCCCAAAAATGGCACTAACCGAGCGATCGAGAATGGCTTTTTGAGGGCTGGCCTTCGTCGGGGTGTTTGGCAACGTCTAAAAATCAAAAAATGTGTTTTTAATTTTCTGATACCACAAATGGCGTCGGTGGTGGGGATCGCGCACGGCTCGCGTACGTCTCGCGCGTGTGGGTGATCCGGACGCCCTAAAAATGCGTATTTTTCAGCGTTTTATAAAAGATACGTTGTTGAGCGTCGCCTGGAAGTGTGCGCCGGCCCCGCGAAGAGTGCTTGATTTTGTCTAAAACCCATTTAAAGCTGAAAATTGGCATACTACCGTTTTGGGCGTCTCTTGGCGGCTCTCGGGGGCGACCTTTTGCATCGACACGCCTTGGTATGCGAATTTTACGCCAGTTCCATCCTAAAAAAGGGTTATAAATTCAATAAATTATATCTACGTTGTGCGAGGTGTAGCAGATCGTCACCCTGACGCGATCCTGCGGGCCCACTTTTGCACTCTCGTTGGCGGCTGGTGCGGGTTTCTAAAGAACGTTTTTTTCTAAACTTTCTTTTACCACTTCTAAACCTTGAACGCAGACACGTACAAACTATAAAAAAAAACCTTAAAAACTACAAGAGTATCGTTCTTTGACCAAAAATATAACTTTTTTACTAGTTTAAAGGTTGTAAATGTAGTTTTTCCATTTGAACAAGTACTAAATGTTAATAAAAATAGAAAAATATCGTTCTCCAATAAAAATTAGAATTTTTAAACCGTTTTTCGATTTTAACTAGTACTAAGTATTACTAAAATGATCACCGTAAACAAACTTCATAAAATAGTACCTGTGAATTCACCACGACACCCGAGTTCCGCAATCCGCTCGACACTGGGCGCCGGTTTCGAGACTAAAATTGTAAAATAAAGATGTCCTTAGCTAACTAAAGCATAATCAACTAGAAAGTAGCCTTAAAAGTCAGAAAAAAATTAGAAACACACCACCGGTGTCTCTTCGCCAAACGAGAAATCGGCCATCCTTGGAAGCGGCGTCTCCTGGCGTACGGCAGGCTTTGCCGGCTTCGAGTTCGAAGCTTTTGAAGTCTGAGGCTTTGCTTTGTTGGTGGCTAAAAATAGATAAGGTAAAATATATTTCAAAATCGCTTACCAACGACCTTGGGCTGCTCCTTCTTCTCCGGCTTGGAGTTCTTGGGCGCGGCGATGGGCTGAAAAACGTGAAATAAAGCTTAAAAATAGATACGTACCATCGAAATGTTGCCCTTGCCCGTCGGCTTCATGATCGATTTGGGCTGCACGAGCTTGGAGGCAGCTGGGTTGGGCTTGGGCTTTGTGCTGGGCTGCTGAAAGTGGTTGTAGAAAAAATATACAAATTCTAGATAAAATCAACAGAATTTCGACATTAAAAATAATAAACCTATAAAGTTTGGTGCCACAAATCAACTAGCACCCACTGAAAACGTCTACTTCAGTTTACTACCTTTCAGGAATTCAAATTTATGAAACCTTGTTTCTCTAAACGAAGCCACTGAAACGACCAAGTAACTTTATGACCTTTTAAAACACAGAAAAGCAACTTTTAATCGATAAAGCGCTTCTTAAAGTGGTTATTACAAAAGCTATTCATCTACATAAGGCAATAGAATTTGGACATTCAAAAGTAATAAACCTTTAATATTGGTTTTATAAATCAAATATACAGCTTCGTAAAAGCCTACATCAATTTATTAGCCTTTTAAGACCTATGAAGAACAATATTTTGAGTCTATAAAGCGTTTTTTGACACCCTTGTTTACCTTAACTTCCTTGTCCTTGGCGCTCTTGTCGAGCGAGGTGCTTCGGGTTATCCGCTTCCGGTCGTCGGGCTTGGCTGTAGCTGTTGCAGGTTTTAGGCCTAAAAAGGAGATAGTACATTCTCAAATTTGAAGAAATAACTATAAAGAAAATAGAAAATAAATAGGTACCCACCAGCTGCGGTTTTTGACGCCAATTTTGGGCCCATCTTCCTCGGCAAGGTTGCACGGAAGGCTGGTGCTAAAAAGGTAATAGAATAAACTTTCATACGCTTAAAAGAAAACCGTTTTAAAAAGTAACTGTTGAAATCAATAATATAGGAGGAAGAATAGTAAGCTCGCTACGTTGAAAGATTTCGGTTCTTTCGCATTTTCGGGAGACCAAAATTTTTACATAAGTCTCGAATTGTCTAGTAACTAAATAGCCAGTGTTTTAATAGTGTTTTTAGTAAAAAATGTCTACAGTTCAACTAGAAAAACTATCTAAAGACTAGAAATTTTGGAAAAGTCGACATTTTGTGCAAAAATCGGCCATTTTGGTCGGAAAATTGCAGTTTTTTTAACCCTTTTTTTAAGAAATTTTGTAAATTTCACGTCTATGAATGTAAAAACCGTTTAGAAAGACTTTGACTATTTATATTTCAAAAATTAGATTCTAGAAAAAAGTTGGCCCCTCCCACCCCCCTTATAATGCGAAAGAACCCAGATATCTTACAAGCTGGCGCTAAGAATTCAAGTAAAACAAAGTTGTAGTTTTGACATAAAAATAAAGAAAAACCTTTTCAAAAAGGTCAACAATCAACAATCAATAATCTAGAGACAAGGATCGTATCCTCACCCCAGCTGCGAACGGGTTCAAACACGCTGATGTGACATGCCCTCGGGCAACTCGCACATCTGCCCGCGCGATCACTCCGATTCTGACACGCCATCCCGGGCTTATCAAAGTAAAAAAATAAGAATGAAAACACTAATGGATACCTACTTTATCAAGTACGATCCTTGTGATGGATCCGAAGAAAATCGGGCATAAAATCGGAAAATATCAAACGCAAATTTCGTTCTTTTAGTATCTTCTCTGGGTATCTTTTTTAATAAATTTTTTCAAACTATATATTTGTTTTTCAGTGGGAATGGAACCGCAAGGCAAGCGCGCCAAGCTGAGCAACGACGACGATGCTCGGCAGGGAGTACAAATCAAGCCGGATCAATGGTGCCTCGACTACGACGCCGACGAGGACGTTTTGCTGCTCGTCAGCAAGCAACTCGACGAGCGAACCGGCATCCTTCCCGATGCCCGCCATCTCGTCGATTTGCCGCTCGAATTGCTGGAGGTGATCGTGGAACCCGTGGAATTCAAGACGATTTTGGCGCTGGAGGCGGTGAACGGACGTCTGAAAGCTGCCTGCCATCGCTACACGATCGAGTACTTGTGCTGCGAAGGCGATCCCATTGCTTTGGAGTCGCAGGTGTATAATCATTGCGTTGACCGCCTCCCGAGTCATCAAACCAATTCGGCAATTAGCGCAGACTTTGCTGGTCGTCACGTGCAGTTCTTTGTTTTTCAACAAAGCTCGGACCTTTCACAGCTGCTGTTCAACGGCGATTCTGCTGTTCTCCCCTACGAGCCCCGTTTCACGTGCGACCACTTTATCTACACCGCGGACTTTCATGAATTGGATGCGGATTTATTTGCCCGGATGTTCGGTGCTCTGAAGCCAACGAACATTTGGCTGAGCACGTTCGTCGAGGTAGAGCAGCTCGTCGGCGCCGTGCCGGGCTCGATTTTCATCAAGCACGTGCAACCAAGAACCGTGCGTTGTCTGCTGGCATGGCAGAGCCGCCGGATTGCATTTGAAACGTATTTCAGTCGAGACTATGCAGTGCTCGAGGTCTTTCTTAAATACATGCAGGAGTGGATGGGTGGTCATCGGCAAATCGACGTATTCTTCGCACAAATCCGAAGAATGAGTGCCGAACAGCTTCGCATGCTGCAGCACTTCGCGGAAACACTGAAGTTTAGGAAATTCACAGGACGGCTGGCTTGGAAAATGACCTACAGGCGGAGCGACGGTGCCCTTCTACAAGTATTAATTGTGCCAGAACGCGAATACCGGCAGCTATGGCGTTCGAAACTGATCCTGACAGCGCCTGGAGCTTCAACGGCCTTCCTTCGTTCCGCTGCCAACGATGCATTTCGATTCGAGAAACTTCTCTTTTAAAGGAATTTAATGTTTGACACGTTTCTATTTCTGGCTTGATAAATGTTTGTTTCCGAATCGTGTTAGTTTGTCGGCTTGCCTTTCAAAAGCAATCGGTTTATTTTTGATTCATTCTACGCGTAATTTAGATATTTTTGATGCGCTTGCAGCGGCTGAGGAACCATCGGGTTCTTTCGCGTTATCGGTGCGGGGGGGGGGGGGCATTTTTCTCAGGATCAAATTTTGGAAATATGAATAGCGTAAGTGTTTCCAAATGGTTTTTTACTATTCCTAAACGCGAAAACTTGACAGATTTGTATTAAAAAATTCAAAAATATAGACTTTTAGGCCGAAAATAGCCGATCTTTGACCAACATTTTGGCTTTTTTAAAAAGTTTTTAGATAGTTTTTTTAGTTGAGATATTGTTACTTTACCGAAAACATGATGAAAACACTTCCTAGAGTTACTAGTTGTTTCTAGATATGCAAAAAATCTATCTCTGTCTTTATCTTCCTCTCGCGGGCAGGTCAAGCTTTTCTAACGCGTAAAAAATCTCAAAAACCCAAATTTTGCAGTCTTCCTCCCATTCATTTTTCAGAACGTTTCCCTTTTGTTCCTGTTTGTCTGTCTATCACCCTGTTTGTCACTTTGTCTGTTCCAGGGGAGTGTCCTCCGCGCTCGGCGAGTTTTCTTCCCGCGCTCGCCAATCCATCCATATCCCACACGCACGCACCATATCCTCATTTCTTCTCCAAAAGTTGGCGATCACAAATGTTCAAGTTGAACCCGGTGTGCCAAAGCTTAACCCCGACTTAATGTAATAGCGTTCCAGTCCATTTCCTTGTTTCTCTCTCTCTCTCTCTCTCTCTCTCTCTCTCTCTCTCTCTCTTTTTGTTCACTTCCTCTCAAGTTCTCAATGATATCATTTTCTGTCTCAAGAGACTTGTCTTGACAAGCTCAAAATGAGCCTCATCCCTTGGAGAATTCTATTTAATTATTTTCAAAGAGTTTGCTATGATGTCAGAGCGCCGGCTTAGGCTTAGGCTTAGGTATAAGCATAGGTTTAGCTTAGACTTAGGCTTAGGCTTGGCTTGGGCTTAGGCGGAAACTTAGGCTTTGGCCTGGGCTTAGGCTTAGTTTTGGGTTTAGGCTTAGGCTTTAGTGTAGACTTAGGCTTAGGCTTAGACTCGAACGCAATTTACACATCTCAAGACTGATCTAAAATTTCCCCACGATTTTTCGCGCCTTGGAACTTGACAAATTTAATGTCTACTGCTTCTCAAATAGATTTTCCCGTTTGAACCGCCCCGTTTTTAGCGTTTCCCCGATGCAGAAACTACTGGGTATTCTGCTATTCTGCTACGTTGCGACGCTGGCGCAATGGTAAGCTGAATAAAACAAAGAATATTCGATTTAAAGGCTACAAAAGTGACTTTTGCAAAGATATCATCAATTACTAATAAATAGAAAGCAGAAATGGTGGTAAAATCAAGGAAAACCTAAAAAGCGAAAATATCGGCTTTTTGTCAGGTTCCCGCCCGATCTGCCCCCACCGTATCGACAAGAATTTTGGTACAAAACTGCTTGGGCTTCAACTTGCTTCATTTCAGGCTTAAGCCTAGCTTGGGCTTGGGTTTAGGCGCAGGCTTGTTTTAGGCTTAGGTTTCGGCTTAGGCTTGGCTTAGGCTTGGGCTTGGCTTAGGCTTAGGTTTTGACCTAGGCTTGGCTTACCTGAAGCTTATACGCGGGCTTAAGTGTAGGCTTGGGCTTAAGTTTGGGCGAAAAATGCTAGCTTTTCCATTGCTCAAAGTAAGCAATCTTTTCCAGGGGCGCGCCACCTCCTTGGTGGCGGGGCGGGCCGCGGCCGCCCTGGATGCGCCACCATCACCACCACGGGCCTTGGGGGTACGGTAATTTGAAAAAATTGCAATGAAATGAACTAGGAAGCAGAAATACAGTATACTGATTCTGTGCCAAGGCTTATTTAAATTTTTTAGACCCTGGGGCCCACCTCCTCCAGGGTGGCGTGGACGCGGCGGTCCTATGAACGGAATGAACTTCGACGGAATGGGCGGAGATCAGGACAATTTCCAGGACAAGAGGCCGTTTGGTGGAGGAGGTGGGGCAGGAGGCTAGCAGCGATTTTTTGGGAAGCGAAGCGGCGAGCAGGCTAGCAGAGATTCTTTAGGAAAAGGCTGGCAAGCAGAGATCCTTGTGGAAACGCGCGATTCCCAACACCTTTAGGTGGGCAGCAGCAAAACTGGGACAACGACAATGGCAATAAC